CAATATTTCTTCTTTTAAGGTACAAATCACAACATCATAATTAATGAAAATGTACTTAATTAAATTATTTTATCTTGTAGAAATCTAAGACATCCATCAGGAGAAGATCTGTTTACAATATGTGTATCAGACCTAGCTATTGAAATTCGAGATTACGCCTTGATTTTTGGTAAAATTCAACCAAATGGCCAAAGATCTCGCGGTCTTATTGATCAATTCATAACTACACAAATTCAGCCGCAAGATATTTGTCAGTGCGTTGGGGAACAACTTGTTAAAAAGGGATTGCTTGAGGATGCTATTACTGTATTCGAATTAGCTGAGGTAAATAATAATTAAACATATAGTATTTGATTTAAACTCTAATTTATACTTTCTCTATTTAGAATCACAACAAAGTATTATCTTTATACTGCACTTTGTTGTCTCAAGTGGTCCATCGGCCTTCACAAACCGGTTCATTGAGAAATCGTTTGCAAAGTGGTGCTGTTGAATTCAAAACAAGAATTGAGAACAGTCAAGCGCTATGCGATTCCGGAAAATTAGCCAGTTTTAATAATATTCTACAAATAATGAACTTCTTTGATGCTTTTCATAATGGACAACAATTGCCAGCTATGGAGGTATGCAAAGATTTTTTCTTAAAGCATTAATTAGTTAATATATATAATAATTAACCTACCGTAGGATAAGTTATAGTAATCGCAAAAAAATCGGAAATGAAAGTTTTTATATGTCTTTACGTTTCAGAGGTTTCTGAATATTTCGGCATACCTTAGAAAAAATGGATGTATGTGTATGTGTGTGTGTATGTGTATATGTGTGCGGATACCAATTTTTGTCGACGATTTTGGGAACACGAATGAAGCGATTTGAATAATTCAGAAAACATTCGATTTGTATTGATAAGGAGACGTGCTGATTAGTTTTTGGCGAAGGCAGGTCTAGCCGTTCCGAAGATATGGGGCAAAAAGTGCCAAAAACGGTAACTAAGTTTTTAAGAGAACGGAGCGTCCGATTTGAATAATTCAAATCTTATTTGTATTGACTAAATGAAGAACTGTTTAAATTTTTGAAAAGGCAGGTCCAACGACTTTGGAGATATGGAGGAAAAAGTAAAAAAAATGAGCCATTTGGCGGTCAAAAGTGAACATTAGACATATGCACATCAAATTATCAGATATTTTATAGAGATTTTAACAATAAGTATAAATTTTGTTTACATTCCTATGGGTTCCGTACCAATGCTTATCCGTTAGACGGCGGCGCGGCGCTTACGCGCTTTGATATTTCGTCTCTATGCAGTTAAAGCAGTACGATTGCTTTGAAAAAAAGTTCATAATTTCCAAAATATTTCAAAATACACTTTTCTTCAAAAAGTCTTTATGTTTCAAAAAAAATTGTCAGAAATTTATAGTTTCTCAAATATCTAATTTTTCAGAGTAATTTTTTTTCAAAAATTATTGTTTTTCAGATTCTGCGTGCATCTCACTTATTGCCTTTAACACTGATCGAAGTAGACGCTTGTGTGCAAACCTTTAAAGAATTAAGTTCAGAAGTTTGCAGGATAATCCCCGATTTATTATTAGCTGCCATGGATGTTATTTACAATCAATATATCACAATCAAAACAGACACTAAAGGAACACTTGATAAATTAAACCGGGATAAGGCAAGTAAAATAATCAAAAACCTGTACTGACTAGATATGATGCATTCAATTATTATTTTCTTATTTTTTACAGCAACTCGAGTATTACAGAGACCAAGCCAAAGCCTTAACAAACTATGCTGGAACAGTTCCATACAGAATGCCAGGGGACACAAATCAAAGATTAGTTCAAATGGAGATCTCGATGTACTGATTTTTATACAGGATGATTTTTGTTATGTGTATTAATTTTTTAATTGTAATAATAAAAAGATTTTCATAACTAAAAACTTGAACAATACGAATAATATTGTTTTAGAGTTGTTAGTATTTTAATCATTATATATATATATATATATATATATATATATATACGAGGTCTGTTCAAAAAGTACCCGGAATTTTCGTTTTTTCAAAAAAATATTTATTTATTCGTCTACATTAATGTGGTCCCCTTCAAAGTAGTCCCCCCCAGATATAATACACTTATGCCAGCGTTTTTTCCAATTTTCGAAGCACCCTTGATATTCACTTTTTGATATGTCCTTGAGCACTCTCGGCGATTTTCTTCAATCGAGGAAAACCGCCGTCCTTTCATGGGTCTCTTCAACTTTGGGAATAGGAAAAGTCACACGGAGCCATATCTGGTGAATTTTTTGCACTTTGCAACACTTTATTCATTTTTTACGCAAAATTTAATACAAATTCTTTGACTTTTTCAATTCTTCCATTGTAAAAATTGCCGAGCTCAGAAAAACACGTCGAACCTTAGCGACTACCACAGACAAAGTAAACAGTGAATATAGCTGAAAATTTCATCATACTTTAGGGGCATATATACCAACACAATAAAAAAAAATTTTGACAATCAGACACTCCAGACCCGCGAAATTTAATTATTAGTAATTCCGGGTACTTTTTGAACAGACCTCGTATATATATATATATATATATATATATATATATATATATATATATATATATATATGATTAGAATGTGTCTTCAAGAAATAATAACAGTTAAAATTTAATATAATTATCAAATTCTTTGAACATAGAATCTTTTATTTGAACTTTAAACATTGAAACTTTTTAAAGATATGAAAATATAAATTTACTATTCTTTTACTTCAAGAAAGAGGACGAAGGATTAAAAGCGGGGATAATTTTTTCATAATCCTACAAAAAATTATAAAATATGACAACGAACTAATATTTTTACCCTAATAAACCAATATTTATAACAATTTACGTTAAATTATTATTTATTAGTACTGAAAAAGGTTAAATAATATTTAATTTTGTATAAAGCAAAGTGTACATATTTCAAATCCACAATTTTTATATAAACAATTTTCTATCACATATTTAAAGACTTTGCTTTTTTTATTCATATCACTTATCCAAAGACTACACATTGCCTTCTACCGTATGTATTCAAATAGGTGAATTTCACAATGTTTTAAATTTCTATTTGAATTTCGCGCTTTAAATTGTACAAGTGGCCACTGCCTTTTTAACACATGTTGCTAACTTCAATTGCTTCGATTGTCAAAGAAATTTTCACGAATTAACATGTCCTCGCGTTAATTAAAACTTTTTAATTAAATCTTTGATTAGTTTTAATTAATTTATGCATCCAAACATATAATTAATTTAGTAGATCAATTTGATATAATAAATTTATCGTACAACGTTAATTAAAAGCTAAAAAATGGGTATGTTTGGAAGTGCTTAGGTCTACCTTGAATAGTTTGATAAGTATCTTTTTCAGGGTCTCCATTTTGAATCAATTTTATAATTAAACAATTTATTTACAGCGCCAATGTATCCTTTAATCATATACAGGCAAATATCAATAGTATAATTTATATATGTGCTTTTGTAGGTGCCTAGGTGTACCTTGAATAGTTTGATAAGTATCTCTTTCAGGGTCTCCATTTTGAATCAGTTTTATAATTTAACAATTTATTTACAGCGCCAATGTATCCTTTAATTATATACATGCAAATATCAATAGTATAATTTATATATGTGTTTTTATAGGTTATATTTAAGTACTTCCACCACATATCTGTTTTTATCGAATTCTAAATTCACGAAAGTCTCTAATATAAGTCGTGTGTTGTGTATTGTGTAAAGACTTTACTCGGACAATTGCAACAGGTCAAATATACCTGTAAAAGACTAAAGTTATGTAGTGGTTCTAAAGTAGTGATTTTGTGTCGAGTACTTGAGATTTCTGGCAGATGCTCGAGAGGTGGTTTCAGTAATGACCCAATGTTTTGGGAGCTGCTGCAGAGGATTTCTAACAATGTAAGTGCAAAGCATGTTTTTTACATAGCGAGTCAAAGAATATTTTTCTGGAATTATATACAGGTATTTATCGTACTATATCTGTTGCACCCATAGTGTTTTAAATGTTCAATATTTAACTTATATATATATATATATATATATATATATATATATATATATAGGCATCAAGTTTTTCTTAATTTCGAATTTAAAACAGTCAAATGATTTTGAAAATCTTTACTTTAACGCAATATTGTTTGTCATCTTAAGTGAAACTATAATTTCAATAGAAATTCATAAAAAGATACTACTTATAATTTATGTTCTGAAAGGAGTTCACAATTATTGACCGAGTTTGTGTTACATGCTACTTTTTATGTTTGTAACAATAATATTTCTTATTAATTATGCATTTAATGCTTGTTTTTCATATTAAATGAAATTAATAAATGAAAATTAATTTGAAGCTGCCTTGAGAACTTCTCACTTTGTTATTGAATATCATTTATAAAGCAGTCTGTATATATTTTAGTGGAATATTTTCTGGCTCGTGCATTATTAATATAATTATATACATATATCTGCTGAAAATATTGTTTATATCATAATATTCGAGTCAATACCAGTTTTTACATAGAATACCTTATACAATCTATTTTTTGTTAATTCAACAACAACTATTATGAGAATAAAAGATTTTAAATTAATTTAGCAGACATATGTGTAAAATACTTAATTTCTTATTTAATTTGTTATGGGGAAAACTTGTTGATTCAGTCTTTTTCTATTTATTTATACAAGTGCCTTTTATACATGTTCTAAATCAATATTGAACAATAAAGTTTGTATTTCTCGTATGTATCAAAGATATTGAAAGTTACATTATTATTATTTCATAATCAATCAGAAATTCTTTTGTTCTATATATAGCAGATTTTGTGTGGAATTCAGAATTATTATCTATATTAAATTTATAGTTAACCAATACTGCTTTTTGAATGCATTGATTATTTGTTCGTTGAAGTGGTCCTAGCACTCCTCCTTGTGTAACTCCTAAATTGATGGTAATTTGTTACAAATTACAAATTACAAATTTACTTTATTACAAAAATCTCTTTCTTATAACACCTCTTGTTCATTATTCTACGGAAACAATTTTTAAAATTACATTTCCAGTATCAAGAATCATTTGTTTTCCCTGTAACGATATTGACTGCATGAACATTCTTATTTATGTATAACACGATTGTTGGTTTTGATCAAATTATTTCTAATACTCAAATACGACTTACCAAATTGTTAATTAAATGCAGCTTTTAAAAGTCTTTTGCTGTAATTTTATTCTAAATTTATTCAATTATATTGCTGCATAGCTAAATGATAGATTTTTATTCTTTTATTGCTAAAAACAATTTTGATCAGGACATGCAATCAAAGTTTTGAAGAGTTGACTTGAATGATTAGACAAATCATAATTTTGTTTACAAGTTTATTATTCGATTCAAGTTGTAAAAATTCTTTGACTCAATTTCTAAAGGATAACAATCAGCTTTAAACAGTTTTAAAGTTTTTAACAGTTTTCAAGTTTTTTAACATTTTTAACATTTTTTATTATTCTATTTTACAAGTTTTATTGAATATCCATGAAGGCTTTTTCTAATAATTTGTATATTATTCAAGTCAACTACATTTGTTTTTGTCTCGATTAATTCTAAAGGTTTCACATGTTTTATGAAGTCATATAAACAATTTTGATTCGATTAATATCATTTCATTTTATCGATTAATTAAATAATTCTCTCGAATAATTTTATTTTTTTCTATGTCCTTTCAGATAATTTTTATTTTTAAGTCCAAATTTTCTGAAACCTTTTCGGTTAATACAGACGAGTTATTTATGCATGCTATATCATCCCAAATGCAATCAAAGTTTCAAAGAGTTGACTTGAATGATTAGACAAATCATAATTTTGCTTATAAGTTTATTATTCGATTCAAGTTGTAAAAATTATTTAACTCAATTTCTAAAGGCTAACTATCAGTTTTAAACAGTTTTGAAGTTTTTAATGTTTAAGGTTTTGAACATTTTTTATTATTTCATTTTACAAGTTTTATTGAATTTCTTTCATGGCTATTTCCAATAATTTGTATATTATTCAAGTCAACTACATTTGTGTTTGTCTCGATTAATTGTAAAGGTTTCACATGGTTTATCAAGTCATATAAACAATTTTGATTCGATTAATATCATTTCATTTTATCGATTTATTAAATAATTCTCTCGAATAATTTTTTTTTAAGTCCAAATTTTCTGATTATAATTCTTTCGAATATTTTTGCTTTCTAAGTCCTTTCAGATAATTTTTTTTTAAGTCCAAATTTTCTGAAACCTTTTCGATTAAGACAGACGAGTTAATTTTGCATGCTATATCATCCCAAATGCAATCAAAGTTTTGAAGAGTTGACTTGAATGATTAGACAAATCATAATTTTGTTTACAAGTTTATTATTCGATTCAAGTTGTAAAAATTATTTAACTGAATTTCTAAAGGATAACAATCAGCTTTAAACAGTTTTGAAGTTTTTGATGTTCAAGTTTTTGAACATTTTTTATTATTTCATTTTACAAGTTTTATTGAATTTCTTTCATTCCAATAATTTGTATATTATTCAAGTCAACTACATTTGTTTTTGTCTCGATTAATTGTAAAGGTTTCACATGTTTTATCAAGTCATAGTATATAAACAATTTTGATTCGATTAATATCATTTCATTTCATCGATTTATTAAATAATTCTCTCGAATAATTTTTTTTTTTCTAAGTCCAAATTTTCTGATTATCATTCTTTTGAATAATTTTTTTTTTCTAAGTCCTTCAAATTTTTTTTTAAGTTCAAATTTTCTGAAACCTTTTTGATTAAGACAGACGAGTTATTTATGCATGCTGTATTATCCCAAAGCCAACATTCGAATGAATGAGACCCACATTGAAAATTTCATAACGAGAAAATTTTATTGGGGCAAAGTTAAAAATTTTAACTAAGTCCCAGTAATTTTTTCTCGTTGTGAAAATTTCAACGTGGACTTCATTTCATTCGAGTGTTGGTTTTGGGAATTGGTGTGCGGGAACACTAAAAAACATAAAAAAGTTTCAACGCCGGACAGAAAAGAGAAAAAAATTTCTGGGACTTAGGGGGTTTTTTTTTTGGTCTCTCCACCTCCCCCTTCCCTCTCCTCCTCCTTTTTTTTCTTTTTTTGATGTTTTTTTTGCATGTTGTGGTTTTTGGGTAGAGTCTCGGGTTCATGATCCCTCTAATGTGTCTCTCTGTATGTAACCTTTCGCATCATGTACCTCAGGTTGACCATCACTTGGTGTGTTCGTTTTAGGACCCTTTGCGCCCGCCAACAGCCAGCCACCAGCACTGCTCCATTTTTTCTGCTTCAGAGTTGGTCTTTGTCACCTTCAGCTGGATTCGATCCGCCTCACCTTCTGCCTCCAGAATTGTGTTGCCCAGTATGCGGTCACCTTAACCACTCGGCTATTTGATATATTGATGATAAGAGTTATTTTTATTCTCATACTGTATTAATATTGAATTTGAATAAAGAATATGTCTCATACACATCTCTCTTATTCATCATCTGCCTCTACCCTTCTCTTTCCCTTGGTTCTTCCTCAACCTTCGTCATCCCTGTCTTTATGTATCTCTCTTACAGTCAAGTGCGAACCTTGAGTTTTTTGTTTTTCAGAAATATTCTAAGTGTCAAGGTCGAAATGCGCCACCTGAATTTAATATTTTGAACTAATATTTGATAATTATGAAAAACTAGACACTTGATTTTTCAAGCCTCTTGGAGGACTTGAACCAGGGAACATTGAGCAACCGTAGTGGTAACTTAACGACCTCGGCCAATTCGTTACACGTAACCTCTCTCTGATTTGTGAAATTATAAAGTCTTATTTATGAAATAAAAGATATAGGTTTCCTAAAAATGTCGTATGCCAAATGTGCGAATGGCCGAGGTCGTAAAGATACGGTTTAGGCCAGAATAGCAATTCGAGGTTCAACAGTTCGAACCCCATTTATCTGAAAAAAATCTGCATTCAGAAATTTTTCTTACTGTGTAAATAAATAAGATATATAGATAAATAATTAAATTTATTGAGTGTCTATTACAAAAATCGACATAATATAAATATAAATATATATATATATATATATATATATATATATATATATATATATATGTATATGTATGTATGTATGTATGTATGTATGTAATATAAGAAATAGTAGAAAGAGGGTAATTTTTAATAAATTCGTATTTACCCCTGGTTAGCAGTAAACCAAACCTACTTTGGTGTAATTTGAAGATTTTACAACATTTACTATTTTTCCCATACAAAACCGGTTTTTCAGGGGCAACCAAAATTGGCCAAAATCGTGACTTTCAAATGCAATTTTGAGGCCCTTAATGAATGAAATTAATAATTTTAAAGAATGCATTGTGTAGACTAAAGTACAATCTTTATACCAAACCAAAAAAATTACAAATTTATCATCGTCTTCATAGTTAAAATCAGCTTCAAAGTTGGCAATTTTTCAAACTTCAAATTGGTACCAAGGGCAGAAGAATTTTTTTTTTCCAAAAACTGATTTCATATTCGGAATCAGCGCCTCGAAAACTATCAGAATCGGTTAAAATATTTTAAAAATCGCGAAAAAAAATGTTTATTTCATTAGTAAAATTTTGATTTTGCAACCAAAAATTTCCATTTTCGCAGAGGTATGCAGATTTATCTAAAAACGGATAACATTTTCAAATTCATCAACTCCAAATCTATCAAAACCAATCAAAACGTTCTGAAAATCGTGAAAAAAAACTCGATTTTTGAAAAGAAAAACGGCTTTGCAACCAAAGATTTCGATTTTTCGCGGGGTGTATGTGGATTTATCCAAAAACGGATAGCATTTTTGAAATCAGCGTTTTAAAATCTTTTAGAATCAGTCAAAATATTTCAAAAATTGTGAACACAAATCCATTTTTTTGATAAAATTCCGATGTTGCAACCAAAGATTTCGTTGTTTTGCCCTGATGGTACCCTGAAAGGTCATCAAATAGGATAATTTCGTCCTCTTCATCAAAAAGACTTTCCAATTCGTTCTTGATTATATTGTCCCTTTACTATGGCGAAGACCGAGGTTGTAGAGTTCCTTCTGAGGCATTCTTTTAAGTCGTAAGCACCTGTAATAAAAATAAAAATTTATTGTAAGGCCACACATCTAAAATATAAAGTATTATATGTTTCTCAATACTAGTCTAGTAACATTAATTATGTGTTTAATGTAATATAATGTAATTTCAGTGTAAGTACAGCCGAATAGTATCTAGTAGATCATTTATATTAATCTAATAACTTGAGTCCATAAACGGTAGTTTAAAAAAAACGTGAATAGCAGTCTATGTTTTTAATACGGTTTATGATTTATAAATCTAAATTCTATCTAGTTTTTACTAATGTAAATAAATTAAAGTGCACGGAACAAAACTTCCAAGATATTCAACTAAATGTAGAAAATGTCCCAAATCCAACATATTGCTAATTATCAAACTCAAATCTGCGTTCCAACTAACTATTGTTCAAAATTTTGATAGCCATGTAGATAGATTATAGAGCAATGTAAATTCTAACTAGTGGTGTATGGCATCGTGCCTTAATGCAAATTGCTGGAACTTCCCGTACCGTAACAAAATGTTCGAGAAATATTGAATATTTTTAAATAGATCATTATTAATATTGTAACACTGTCTAATATTTATAAGAATTATATAAACTGAATCACAAAGTCAGTTTTTTTTCCAAAAGCAATTGTTTTGTCAACAATACCTACTTGTTTTCATATTTCAACTTATTTCTCACAAAAACTGCAATTTTTTGTATATTTAGCTCTGTATCTTCGAAATGGCGGGACTTGAGGGGTCAAAAGTAAAATAGGCGAATTTAAGAGAGAATTAGATTTAGGAGTAGGATAATTGAAAAATAATTGTGAACGCGTAGGTAGCCTTGGAACATTAAAGAATAGCTGATTAAGAATAAGAGGACAGTATATAGAATTACTGCAAAGTTTAAATAAAAACATAATTGTACAGATAAATCGACGTAAAGGGTAAATTTTATATGTTTTATAATAAAGATATTTCAGAAATTTTCGCTGAACCTTCTCTATCGCATCAGAGTTATTGATTTGATGAGGATACCAAATAATCGAACCATATTCTAATTTTTAACGTACATTAGAATAGTACATGCAAAGAAGTGCATTATTTGAATTGAATTGTTTACAATTTCTCAGTATCAAATCTAAAGATTTATGTGCCCTATTACAAATATCAGTTATATGTTCCGTGAAAAACAAACCAGAATCAAATAGAACTCCTAAATCTGAAATTTTATTACGTCTATCAATGCTGGTGTTAGAAATTTTATAATCAAAAAGTATTGGAACGCGCTTATGTGTAAAACTAAGAATCTTGCACTTTGATATATTTAAATGCAATTTGTTAAAGACACACCAAGAGTGGAAAGAGTCAAGTTGAGACTGTAATAATAAGCAGTCATGAATAGAATTTATTTTGAGATATAGTTTGAGATCATCTGCAAATAATAAATGTGGACAGCTAATAATATCAGATATGTTTTTAATAAAAATAATAAATAGCAGTGGACCAAGAATGGATCCCTGAGGAACACTTGAACTGATATTTTCAATGTTGCTCAAGAATCCATTAAGATAGACAAACTGTTTACGATTATGAAGATAACTCTTAAAAAAATAAATAAGTGAAGAATTAAAACCAATCTTAGATAATTTACTAAGAAGAATGTTATGATCAATTTTGTCAAATGCTATACTGAAGTCAGTGTAAATAACATCAACTTGCCCATTTGTGTCAAGATTCTCAGCTATATACTGTTTAATACAGATTAAATTAATTAATTTTATAAAGATTAATAAAATTATAATAAGAATTTCAATTTAAGGAGGAATAATTGCATAGATAAAAGAAGTGTTGACAAAGCGCTAATAGAAAGATCTAATATTTGTTCAGCTGATAACACAACATGCGAATCATAAAATATCTTATGGCCTTGTCTGAAAATTTTAATAACAAATACATTTTAATTATGAGTACATACCTCAATGAATCTATCCAACAAAGCAATTTATTTCATCGTTAATTTTCTTTCGAAATCATAACAAAATTCACTTTCTTATTTATGCGCTTTTTTTACTTATTGTTAATATACGCACATGATTGGTGACACAGATAAATAAAAACTGCGATTATAAAAAAACAATAACCATCTCTAACGAGAATTTACATAAGTTTGAATAAAATCTGTCAAAATACGAAATAAAACCTGTCAAACGCCATCTTGTTTGTATTCACTGACATTTTTATGCATGTGCCCGCTCCCTATGGCGCCCACAATTCTATTCTGAAAATGGCGGCCATCTGACTGAAAGCTATCAATATTTACGTATTGACATAAAATATCCCCAAACATATCTAATAAACTAATATCATTTATAAATTATCCGAATCAAGTATTTAAATATACGTTAAACGAGTATCTATAATTATTTTTAAAAAATAGTGTTACAGTTACATCAGGAATAAAAATAACATCGGACTACATTTTAAGGCTATTTTCTACGTCAGGTAAATTAATCAAAAGCATCAAAATAATACCGTACCAGGATATAATTAAATATCCCTCTGGAAACGAATTTAAAAATTTGAATGGATTTTTAAGAACGTAGAGCGAATTTTTAAATAATAGTTATTTACAACAAGATTGATGGAGTGAATTAATTATGAGATGCAAACAATAGTGTTAAAACAAAATGGACACGCATTTTTTGAAAAAATTCTTATTTTACATTTTTTTAAACTTTTAAAACGTTTTGGGAGCATTATGTCAATTTAAAAGTTTTTGTATTTGATTTTAATAAAATCATAGGGTTTTCTTTTACAATAAATTAAAAATTATTTAATCCAATGAAATGAAAATTTTAAAAAATATTGATTGAACATTATGCTTTAAATTTGTGGAATTATGTGGAAATGGACTTTACTTTAGATGCCTGATTATTTTTTTAAAATAATTATTCTTCTCTGAACATGAACCTAATATAACTTTCTTTCAATGATTTTATATAGCTTTTTTGATTTACAAACAAAACACACAAATCTTATAAAGATAAATTCATCGATAATATATAATTGAATAAATGTGTTATTGTATTAACTTCTTATAGTCAATTGTGTGTTTTGTTTTGATTTCAAAAATCATATGAAATAATTATCAGCCTTTCTTTATAATTAAACATTTCGGCACTTTATGTGTGCCATTTTTTTTGAAAAACACTAAAAATAGTTTCACTAAAATGGAATGAGATTCCATTGCTGATTCTAAAATGTCTAAACATCTCTTTTGTATTACATTTTTTATTTATGTAATAATTTTCTCTTTAATAATAATGTTTTAAAAACTATTTTTAGTGTTTTTTAAAACAAAGTTTGTCCTGGTTGATTGCTGAATGATGACACACATAAAGCTTTGAAACGTTTCATTAATGAAAAATAATGTTCTTTTAACATTTTTGTTTCGACGAATTGGCTACTGATTATTTTAAATCTGTTTCAACGTTGAAAAAACCTTTAATATATATATATATATATATATATTTGTATATAATTAAATCTTTTATTCATAGTATTTTATTCTGGATTATTTATTCTTATAGATTTACCACCATGGAGGAACAATACGCATTGAGTTGGATGAGTTTCAAAAACAATTTAATATCGGGCTATCAAGAATTGTACAGAGATGAAATGTTTACAGATGTAACATTAGCTGCCGATGGAGTTATTGCCAAATGCCATCGAGCTGTTTTAGCAATCAGTTCAGATTTTTTTAAAATCATGTTGGAAAGCTGTACTGGGAATAATCACCCTATAAGTAATAAATGAATTTTATTATTTCTTCAGAATTGTTTTCATGTTTTTGTTGTATTTTTAGTTTATCTCAATAATATTTCACAACAAAACTTGAAAAATCTATTGGAGTTTATTTACTATGGAGAGACCAGAGTTGAACATGCAGATTTATCTCAGTTTATACTGAATGCAGAATCGTTACAAATTAAAGGATTAACTGGTCCCAAAGTAAGTTTTTGACTCACTGATGGAATTATAATTGAAGTATAGTTGTACTTTAATATTTTAAAATAATATTTGTTTTGTATTCAGACGGCTCCCACTAAACAGACAAGATCAATAAAAAGAAAGGCTTCACAGAGTTTAGAAAATGAAATAAAATCTCCCAAAATGATAGAAGGTATAAAAATTTATTTCATTTTAATTATTTGTTAGTTCTACTTAAGACTTTATTTATTTAACAAAAAAGCTATGTTTCTGTATTTTTATTTCAATTGCTATTTATTTTTGGTTTCTTATATATTGAAAAATTGCTTTATATACAATATTTAGTGTACGATTTATTTCTTCGTCTAAGACAACTTCTCGTGTTTTTAAGGAGATTTGACTCTCTTTTAATCACTACTATTGGATCTACATATAAAAAATGTAAACTCCAATCTGTTATTAATATTTATTAACTTCCCGTAGGATAAGTTATAGTAATCACAAAAAAATCGAAAATGAAAATTTTTGCATATCTTCACGTTTGAAAGGTTTCTGAACATTTTGGCATACTTCAGAAAAAATTGATGTATGTGTGTGTGCGTGTGCGGATACAAATTTTCGTCGTCAATTTCTGGAACACCGATCAACCGATTTGAATAATTAAAAAAACATTCGATTTGTATTGATGAGGATACATGCTGATTAGTTTTTGGCAAAGGCAGGTCCAGCCATTTCAAAGATACTGACCTAAATGTGCAAAAAATGACAGTTTTTGAGTGAACTAGGCGTCCGATTTGAATCTAAATCTAAAATACTTTCTGCTTGTATTGACAAAACAATTGCTTTTGAGGATAAAAAACTATTACATCCTTTCTTATTTCAATAAAATATTTTCGTAATTTTAGATTGAAAATTCAAAATATTACCCAGGCTAAACACAGTCTAAGGGCCACTCTGGTACAAATGTTTACCCAAGTGCGTTTAGACTGTTTATGTACCGGAAAAATGTGAAAATGCCGCTAAGCTAAGCACAGTATAAGTGAAATGTCGCACAGAATTATTTGCAAATGCGTTTAGACTGTGACTATACGGGAGCACTTCAATTCAATTTTGTGCAACTATTTTTTTGAAATTGAATTCGAATTGAAATGACTATTGTTAATGTTCTGGAGATAAATTGATTTATGATTTACATTTGATTTGCTCAGATATAACAAGAAAGTTACAGTATTTGTAATAATATATTTTAAAACGTTTAAAATTTCTCGAATATTTCATTACGGTACGGGAAGTTCCAGCAATTTGCCTTAAGGCACGATGCCATACACCACTAATTTAGTTGTACTATTTCTACTATCCATTCTACTATCAAATATATATTTTTATTATTATTTTAGTTATAGAACCAGAATTCATGAACGAAGAAGACCTGGAACACATAAAGGCTGCAGAAGAACACAACGAGAATCTTTTGAAAAGAGAAACCTGCCAAGATATCGAAGAAGAAATCGAACCATCATATATACAAACAAACGAAATGAAAGTTGATGAAAATCCTGATAACTCTTCATATATACCGGATTACGAAAATACCGATGATGATTATATAGAAGATGACTATGATATGGGATTCCCACAAGACGGAGGTACTTGATAAATATTTATTAATTAATATTTGTAGTTAGTTGTTTGAGAGTTTCACTTCTTGTGTTGCAAAAGCCTTTTTGTGATTTTTTCACCTGGTTATATAGAAAATAATACGCAATCCAATGAGACCAAATTTGGTAAAACTTTGCTTGAGGTTATTTTTGGCCTTTCGTCGACGTTTTCTCAAACACAGCTGGGCCGATTTAAAAAATTTAAGAGCCATTCGATTTTAATTGATGAGGACTAGCGTTTGGCAGTTTTGAGCGACGATCAGCCAAGCCGTTTCTTTGTTAGTAGCAGGAAAGTGAAGAATTTTTCGTTCGCTATTTAGCCCGCAATTTTGAATCGATTTTGAAAATTCAAAAACTGTTCGAAAGATATTGCTTGGAAATCGCGTTGATTAGTTTTTGGTGAAGATCGGCCCGGCCGTTTTCTTGTAATTAACTGTCGAAGTTTTTTATGAATTTTTTTTGGCGATAGGTATCATGATCTTATAGATCATACTAAAATATCACGGCCCTACGACAAGTCGTTTAATTTTAATAACTCATCAAAGTTTGAAAAAATGAGAAGCGTTTTTTGACCTTTGATAAAGTTAGACCTTTCATCGACGTTTTTGAAAATAATTTTTTTCTACAAAATTTATTAATTTTGCATTTACACGAAATTATAATTCGTTTATATCTACAATAACTTTTTTATTGCTTTACTGTGAAAATACTTCACTGCAAAATGTATGTTACAGTTACGAATGTTAAGCAGTCTATGTTTGTGATGAAAATCTATAGATTAACATATGGGGACTTTCCATTTTATGATCAAAACTAAATTTTATGTGTGTATAAGCTAGTTTGCAATGCAAGAGCATCATTGTTCTTAATTAGTGTTTATATATAATTGATAGCGCAATTTAAGGCCAAATAACGGAATCATTTTTTACAAAATTTTTCATTTACAAAAAAAATATAGTTTTGTAATAAACTAGTGGTGTATGGCATTGTGCCTTAAGGTAAATTGCAGGAACTTTCTGTACCATTTTTTTTAAATCTTTGGAAAAATTGAATTTTTGAGGAAATTTTGAGCTTTTTTCAAAGCAATCGCACTGCTTTAGCTGCATAGAGACGAAATATCGAAGCGCGTAAGCGCCGCGTCGCCGCTTAATGAATAAACATTTGTACGGAACCCATAGAAATGTAAACAAAATTGATACTATTACACATTATTAAAATCTGCATAAAATATCTCATAATTTGATGTGCATATGTCTAATGATCATTTTTGACCGCCAAAAGGCTTTTTTTTTACTTTTTTTACTAGATCTCCGAAACCGCTAGACCTACCTTTATGAAAATTTTATCGATTCTTCATCTTGTCAATACAAGTGAAATGTTTTTTGAATTATTTAAATCGGACGCTCCGTTCTCTTAAAAACTGAGTTACCGTTTTTGGCACTTTTTGTCACGTATTTTCGAAACGGTTGGATCTGCCTTTGCCAAAAACTAATCAGCACGTCCCCTTAATAATACGAATCGAATGTTTTTTGAATTATTCAAATCGGTTAAATCGTCGACGAAAATTTGTATCCGCGCACATGCACACACACATCACTTTTTATAAGGTATGCCAAAATGTTCAGAAACCTCTGAAACGTAAAGACAAACAAAATCATTTTCTATATTTTGCGATTACTATAAATTACCCTACGGATAGTTTAAACTAGAGAGTAAAAGAAAGGTTATATCTGTACAGACCAATTTTAATAGTTATCTATAAAAAATGCAATGCTTAATAGTTCATTTTTAAATATTTATAATTTATTAAATGTGCTCGATATTAAATATATTAATATTTATGTTTCGTTAGTTATTCATCATATTAAAAACTTGCAAAAAGGGCTTTTTAACTTCCCGTAGGGCAAGTTATAGTAATCGCAAAAAAATCGAAAATGAGAATTTTTATATATCTTGACGTTTCAGAGGTTTCTGAACATTTTGGCATACCTTAGAAAAAATGGATGTATGTGTGTGTGTGTGTATGTGTGTGTGTGTATGTATGTACGTGTGTGTATGTATGTGCGGATACAAATTTTCGTCGACGATTTCGGGAACACGGATCAACCGATTTGAATAATTCAAAAAACATTCGATTCGTATTGATAAGGAGACGTGCTGATTAGTTTTTGGCGAAGTCAGGTCTAGCCGTGCCGAAAACTGTAACTCAGTTTTTAAGAGAACGATTTTTAATAATTGTATTGACAAGATGAAGGATCGATAGAATTTTCATAAAGGTAGGACTAGCGGTTTCGGAGATATAGAGGAAAAAGTAAAAAAATAGCCATTTCGAATTATCAGATATTTTATAGAGATTTTAACAATAAGTATACATTTTGTTAACATTCCTATGGGTTCCGTACCAATGCTTATGCGTTAGACAGCGATGCGGCGCTTACGCGCTTTATATTTTGTCCCTACGCAGTTAAAGCAGTACGATTGCTTTGAAAAGAAAGTTCAGATCTTCCACAATATGTCATAATAAAGAAAAAAAATTTTTTTTCAAAAAAAAAAAATTAAAAAAAAATTTTTTTTTTAATTCTTTTTTTCAAAAAGAAAGTAATTTTTTGTCCAATTTATAGTTTCTCAAAAATCTTATTTTTTCAAAGTAATTTTTTTTTTCAAAAATGTTAATCGTTTTTAAAAAAATAATAATTTTTTGGTACGGGAAGTTCCAGCAATTTGCCTTAAGGCACGATGCCTTAATTGCCTTAAGACAGAATTCCACTTACAGCTAGTTTATAGTGATTTTCCTTCAGCACGGTTTTTTCATGTAAAAGTGAATTTTTCAAGTTACACTTTTTTTTTGAACATATCTTCTGTGTAAAACCGGCGATAAGTGTATATGCATTTTAGTGACACAAAAGTGTGCTTATTCTATTGTTAGGTCCACGAATCACAAACAGCACAAGTTTTATAAACCAAATTCAAAATAACTTAAATCAGATTTGTTTATCGCAAATTTGAATCTAATCAATCTATTCAATTTCCAATTGTCAACCAATATCTTTTATTCTTCTAGATGAGATAAAATTCATAAGAAGTCAAAAGCTTAATGCCCAACTCGTGTATAACATGTGCATTTACAATCGCAAGAAAACGCTCCAGAACGGCTGCACGACCTGGCGTTGTTGCGAAAACCTAAAGTACAAATGCAAAGCTGTCTGCATCACATTGAACGATAAATTCGTCAATGCAAGGCACAGGCACAATCACCCGAACCATTGGGAAAAAATTGCAAACAGGCCATTGCACGATAGAAGTGAATTCGAACTGAACGATCTCATTGATGAACTAGAAGCCAATTAGATAATAGATAGATAGATTTAGTAGGTTTATTATTTATTATTTAGTTTTTAAGATTGTAGATACACAAATGAAAATTGTACATAAACTTATTTTGTAATAGTATTATATAGTTAATATTTAATAATTAGATTTTTTTGTTCGACGTTGAGACATATCTTGAACAATGATTTTCAGCCAGTCGTCGAAATAAAAGAAACAAATAAGTACAAATATTTATTTATAATATACGTTTCGACACAGATTGTGTGTCATCATTCAGCAATTCTTTGTTAACAGTATCTAAAAAATATTTACAAAATTTTTTAAAAAACTAGTGGGGCGCATGACATCGTGCCTTAAGGCAAATTGCTGGAACTTCCCGTACCAAAAAAATTTTTTTTTAAAAAGATTAACATTTTTTAAATAAATTTACTCTGAAAAATTAGATTTTTGAGAAACTATAAATTTAACAAAAATTTACTTTTTTTTTGAAAAAAAGACTGAAGAAAAATTTATTATAAAATATTTTGGAAATTCTAAACTTTTTTTCAAAGCAATCGTACTGCTTTAACTGGATAAAGACGAAATATCGAAGCGCGTAAGCGCCGCGTCGTCGTCTAACGAATAAACATTGGTACGGAACCCATAAGAATGTAAACAAAATTTATACTTATTGTTAAAATCTCTATAAAATATCTAATCATTTGATGTGCATATGTCTAATGTTCATTTTTGACCGCCAAATGGCATTTTTTTTCACTTTTTTTTACTAGATCTCCAAAACCGCTAAACCTGCCTTCATGAAAATTTGATCAGTTCTTCATCTTGTTAATACAAGTAAAATGTTTTTTTGAATTTTTAAAATCGGACGCTCCGTTTTCTTAAAAACCGTGTTACCGTTTTTGGCACTTTTTGCCCCGTATCTTCGGAACGGCTAAACCTGCCTTTGCCAAAAACTAATCGGCACGTCTCCTTATCAATACGAATCGAATGGTTTTTGAATTATTTAAATCGGTTGATCGGTGTTCCCGAAATCGTCGACAAAAATTGTATCCGCACACACAAACACACACACACACCTAAAGTTTCATTTTCGATTTTTTGCGTTTACTATAACTTACCCTAAAAATTGCTTTTTTTGAAAATTTTTGAGATTTTTTTTTTAAATTATTGAAAGTTTATGACACCCATTTGATCCATTCTGCCGAAAATATCTGATTTTCGGTTTGTAACTTTTTTCCTAGATCTCCGAAACCGCTGGCTCTGCCTTGCGACAATTTAATCAACTTTTTACGTTAATACAAGTAAAATGTCTTTTGAATCATTCAAATCGGACGCTTCGTTTTCCTGAAAACTTAAATAAATACTCTTGGCTCCGGATCTTCGAAACGCTTGGTTATGTCTTTGGCAAAAACTAATAACTGTGTGTTTGTGGGAATACAATTTTTCGTCCGCGATTTCGGGCGCGCGAATGAACCGATTTAAATTATTCAAAACCATTCGATTTCTATTGACTAGTTTTTGATAAGGGCAGGCCCCATCCGTTTCGAAGTTAGAGAGTTAAAAATGCAAAAAATGGCAGATTTTGAGAGAATGGATTGAAAAAATATTTTGGTTTTGTTGACAGTGTGAAGAAACTGTCGGATTTCAAAATTTCAAAATATTTCTGCTTAAAATATCGAAAATAATTCAGTTTCAATTTGAATTCTTGTTAAAGTTCTAAAGCTCACTTATATACTTGAAATAAATAATTTTAACTTTACAATTCAGTTTATATAATTCTTATAAATATGAAATAAGGTCTAAATAGGAATTGCAAGATTAATATGTATTTTGCCGGCATCTGAGTGGAAAGGGTTAATTCTAATTTTGCTTGATTAAGTTTAGTTCATTTATTCACTTTCCATGTAAACAAATATAAACGTCGTCGTACAATTTATAAGCTCTCATATTTTGTCTACAAGATACAAATAATGAAAAAGAGTTTCAGTGCTTATATATTTGAAAACGTTTGGAATTCCTCGAATATTTTATTACGGTACGGGAAGTTCCAGAAATTTGCCTTAAGCCACGATGCCATACACCACTAGTTCATTTCAAATTCAATCAATCATCACTATATTTCATCATTTCGATTTCATCTTTCATCCCCAGGTGCAGTAATCCAGTACATATCCAGCAGCCGAAACTCCTTACAAATCTACCACGAGGGGCACACTTTCAATCGGTACAATTCGAAAAACGATGCAAACTATTGGAGGTGCACGCAATACCGCAATATGAACTGTCGAGCCAAACTGATAACATATTCGAATGGCCAAAAAATCGTTGTGAAGGAATCGAAACACACACACGAAATCATCGATGGCAGGTTGAAATACGGGACGAGTATTCGAAATAGAAAGAAAGACTCTTCCAAAACGGAGGAAAAGGATACGTAACGAAGGGGAGAGATAGAATTGATGATGAGGAATAGGTGAAGTCGACCCTCCTATAACGCGGGAGTGCGTACCGTGTAATATGAAAACCGTACTGTACGAAGAACTGGTGGTGCATGACATCGTGACTTAAGGGGGTTGTTCTTTTTGTTACAAAAAAGGCATTTGTTTGGGCTAGAAGCTTCGCATAATTTTTTTGCGTAATGTTATCAAGTTGTTTGAGGTGGTGGGACTAGGTACTGCATTGGTGAACAAATTAAAAAAAAATGCAAGTCGATCCGACTTGTAGTTTTTTTTTTAATTTGTGGCACCGCATTGAAAAAAGTCATTTTGAGAAAAACGTATTTAAAGTTCTTAATATAATGCACTAAATACACCATTTAATTTAATGTACTAAATACACCTTTGTGTTCAAAGATGCTGACACATTAAAAAGGTCATGTGCATGAGGTATTATAATGAAAAAGAGAGCAGCTGGCATACAATAGCTCGCGGAACGATGAAAAAAAAACGGTTTCAGAGGATCATACATATAGAGATAAATATATCTTTAACTTCGTCAAAAAAATAGATATTGAGATGATTTTTTTTTAAAATAATTCTACGGTTTTTAGCTTTCATAATATCAAAAAATCTCAAAACCGAAACAAAGAAAAATAAAAAAAGAACAACCCCCTTAAGGAAAATTGATGAATATGCAAAGACATGATAATAGTTTACATTCGGATCATGTCATATAAAATATATAAGGAGGCGACTATTTATCACGTGAGCTTTTTAGGGAAAGGATAGACAAAAATTACGAAATATCACGCGGGAAAAGGATGGGAGGGTATTGTAAGATATCACGTGTATTCATTTTTTACCTGATTTTTTAAAAAATCCAAACGTTTAAAAAAAAAAAATCAAAAATTTTTACAATTTTTCTCGTAAAGGGGCGTCCCTCAATCACGTGAGATTTTTAAGAAGGGGATAGACAAAAATCAAGTCTAGTAAGATATCACGTGCATTTATTTCTCACCTGATTGTTTTTTAAATTCAAACATTTCAAAAAAAAAAAAATCAAAATTTTTATAATTTTTTCTCGTAAAGGGTCGTCCATTAATTACGTGAGGTTTTTAGGTGGGGGTTCGGGGTTGACAAAAAATCATGAAATATCACGTAGGGGAGGAAGGGGTATTGTAAGATATCACATGTATTTATTTTTACCTGATTATTTTTTAAATCCAAACATTTTCAAACAAAAATCAAAGTTTTTACTATTTTTTCTCGTAAGGGGGCGTCCTTTAATCACGTGAGGTTTTTAGGAGGGGATTGGGGGTTTGACAAAAAATCACGAACTATTACGTGGGGAAGATCATAAAGATATCACGTGTATTTATTTTTTACCTGTTTTTTTTTAAATCCAAACATATTCAAAAAAAATTAAAAAATTTTACATTTTTTCCTCGTAAGGAGTCTAGTATCTTACGAGATCACGTATATTTATTTTTCACCTGATATTTTTTTTAAATCCAAACATTCTAAATAAATTAAAAAAATTTACAATTTTATTTCGTAACTAAAAATATACGTGATGTTTGTTGGGCGAGGAGGGGTAATTTTGAATATCACCATTCATCACTAAAGGTAAGGGGGAGTCCAAAAGTCCTTAAAAAATCGATCACGTGATTAATGGACGCCTCCTAAATGTTTTTATTGAATTGAAGAGTTTATATAAGGGAATGATAAAAATGAAACAAACATTAGGAGGTGTCCATTAATCACGTGAGGTTTAACCCCTTAACTTACGATTTAGATTCCAAAATGTCGGGCCAAAGTTGTTCAAACTGGCGCGGCGTTTGTGACTATTTTCCCTCATAGTGTATGGTTTTATACTAAACATACATGTAAGGGGATGACCATTAATCGTGTTATCAACTTTTTAGTAATTTTTGGACCTCCCTCCCCTTGGTGATACGTGGTGATATTCAAAATTACTACCACCCTTCCCTACCACGTGTAGTTTTAGTTACGTGAAAAAAATGTAATTTTTTAATTTTTTTTTGAAAATGTTTGGATTTTTTAAAAATTCAAGTAAGAAATAAATACACGTGATATTTTTCTATACCCCTCACGTGATATTTCATGAATTTTTGTCAAACCCTCCACCTAAAAACGTCTCGTGATTAATGGAAGCTCCCTAAAATTTGGAGACTGGAGGGTTATTTTAAATATTATCAAAAGATTGGAGGAGTCCAAAAAATCTTAGAAATTGATCACGTGATTAATGGACGGCCCCTTAAATTGAAAAAAACTGTTCTGTAACAAAAAATGTTTCTAGCATATTTTTTTTAGAAAGGCTAACGTGTAGATCTGACACTACTAAAATCGATGTCGTGCACAACTATGAATTATTATTAAAAGAAAACCGCGTTATATTAGTACTGTGTTATAGGAATTATGTCTCAATTTTAGCTCCGCGTTGTAGAAGGGTTGACTGTACTATTATTTTATAGGCTGTGCTGATTAGAAATAAAACTATGAAATATTTATTGTAAAGACTGGACATGAAATATAATGATTGCAATTAATGTTCAGTGTTTATTTTAGTCAACCACGCTTACGTTTCATCAAAGATGGCCGTAAAGCAAAACAGCGCTAAACGGGGTTTATTAACATATAAATTAGTTAATAAGAAATCAGTATGTTTATGAGTTTATACTCGAATTACTACAAAGCGCATTATAATGTGAGAAACTTACACATTATTCAATTTTGTACAATTTTTGCAGACATATTAGTTATTTTTGACAAACGATTCAAATATTAAACATTGTTGAAAAAATAAGCACACTATAGGGTTTATATAACAACCGATTATAAAAAATATTTTTATAAAAAAATACTATATTTTATCGACTGATACAAAAAATTTTAACAGAATATTTAGACATTTAGAGTAATTAAAAGCAGTTTCTGATTAAAATTATTTATTGGTCAATTTGTTAATGTGATTTAGAAGAATGAAAAAATAATTTACCAGGATAAAATAACCTTGAAAACAATTATAATTATCCCTTGTTTACAGCTAATTTTTACATATAAGGGTTTAAATATTTTTATTATTATGAAACGAAGACTATGCATGCTATTTGCAACAATGTTTACACACAAGCCAATACATTTGGCTTTATTTGTCATTTTCATTTTTTTAAATTATTCATTAACTATTTTTTTCTACTATAAATCGATTTCCTTAATTTTCTCCTGAACCGGTTTTTAGAAACCGACAAGCCCTAATGCACATATTTTTCTATTGCAAATACAATTAAAATATTAACATTATATTTTTACTAACCTCTAAGCTCGTGTAAGGTAATTTTAGTAAATTGAATTTTGCATCATTTTTTTCTTAAAAGTCAGGTGTGGCCTTGATTAAAAATGATCAGACTTGCGTGATCACCGGAACACGATGGATTATATAACTTGAAATATAGAACGTTCTTCTTCGTTGAAATTAATAACCAAGAAAACGAAAAGAAAATCACTCTAATACAAAAAAGTACTAGCTGTAAGTGGAATTCTGTCTTAAGGCAATTAAGGCATCGTGCCTTAAGGCAAATTGCTGGAACTTCCCGTACCAAAAATTATTATTTTTTTAAAAACGATTAACATTTTTGAAAAAAATTTACTTTGAAAAAATAAGATTTTTGAGAAACTATAAATTGGACAAAAAATTACTTTTTTTTTGAAAAAAAAATTATTTTTTTTTTAATTTTTTTTTTTTTGAAAAAAATTTTTTTTCTTTATTTTGACATATTGTGGAAGATCTGAACTTTTTTTTCAAAGCAATCGTACTGCTTTAACTGCATAGAGACAAAATATAAAGCGCGTAAGCGCCGCGTCGCTGTCTAACGCATAAGCATTGGTACGGAACCCATAGGAATGTTAACAAAATGTATACTGATTGTTAAAATCTCTATAAAATATCTGATAATTTGATGTGTATATGTCTAATGATTATTTTTGACCACCAAATGGCTCATTTTTTTACTTTTTCCTCCATATCTCCGAAACCGCTAGACCTACCATCATGAAAATTTTATCGATTCTTCATCTTGTCAATACAAGTAAAATGTTTTTTGAATTATTCAAATCGAACGCTCCGTTCTCTTAAAAACTGAGTTACCGTTTTCGACACTTTTTGCCCCGTATCTTCGGAACGGCTAGAGCTGCCTTCGCCAAAAACTAATCAGCACGTCTCCTTATCAATACGAATTGAATGTTTTTTGAATTATTCAAATCGGTTGATCCGTGTTCCCGAAATCGTCGACGAAAATTTGTATCCGCACATACATACACACACGTACATACATACATACATACATACATACATACATACATACATACATACACACACACACACACACATACATCCATTTTTTCTAAGGTATGCCAAAATATTCAGAAACCTCTGAAACGTAAAGATATATAAAAATTTTCATTTTTGATTTTTTTGCGATTACTATAACTTACCCTACGGGAAGTTAAAAACTTGAACTTTCACTGAACAAATCACAAAATTTGAACGGAAGTACAAAATTGTAACTTGGAAGTTGATCACTGAAACCGAAAAATAAAGTGAACGAAAGGTAGCCTGTTTAGAACTGAATTTGGAATCAAAGGATTTTTTGGAAGGAAAGTGACAGCTATCCTAAATTATAAACTAAAAGTCCTGTTGACGTATTTCACATCCGAGATGGCGACTATATTAATAGATTTATTTTATATTTATATTTAATACTCATTGAAGTCAGTATAAATTTCTTTAGCTTTTAATTTAACCAGTTTGCTGTGTCGCTCGCATCGAAAATGTGCACAGTTTTGTGTCGTCTTAATCGAGCTCATGACAAGTATATTCGTCATTCACAGAGCTGGTAAAATACCGGATGAGAAATATGAGTTAATTTAACAAATTTAAAAAAAAATTACTACATTTTACTTCTTTGTTAATATAAGCACATTACATAAATATGTAAGAAACTAAAAACAAATTAAATTCAATAATATGCATAATATATATACATTTAAATGCAAGAAAGTAAAAATAGTTTTTGATGAAAAACAAAAACTACTTTCAAAATAAACAGTAGAAAATGTTATAAATTTAAATAGCTAAATCTTGATAAAGAATGTTATTGTCTTAAGGTAAAATGCCACTTACAACTACTAATTTAACACAATCATATAGCCTCATATTCTAAATAAAACTCGACATTTCGGAATGTATTTTGTTTTTTCTAAAATTTCATTTTACTATTTTCATTTTTAATAGCAAATGATCACTGTTTTATACGTATGACTAGTATATTCGTCAACAAACCAAATTTTGCCACTTCTCCATGGCGAGTATATTCGTCAACGGACAAAATTCTGCCACTTATCCATGACGAGTATATTCATCAACACTCAAAATTGTATCACTTCTCCATGACGAGTATATTCGTCAATCACAGTTAACTGCTTAACACATCCAAAACCACATCAAAAATCGTATTTCATTCATTCGTCAATCACATTTAACTGGTTAACACGTCCAAACCCACATCGAAAATCGTATTTCATTCATTTGTCAATCACAGTTAACTAGTTAACACGTTGAAGACCACACCCAAAAATCGTATTCCACACCTGAATATCGCACCAAAATCGAAATCGTATTAGTAAAAAAAAGAAAAACCTAATATGAAACAAGGTTGTATCAAATTTACTGAATTTAATTGTCGAATGGACCACTGATGTACATAATAAAAAATCTACATTGTTTGATGAAAACTTATGTAATAAGCCCATAGGCCATTTACATCATGTTTTTTTATTCGCACATTAATATCCACTTTTTTTTTTGATAAAAACATGCAAATCCTATGATGAATTAATTATATATATATATATATATATATATATATATATATATATATATATATATATATATATATATATATATATATATATATATATGGATTAATCCATTATTCGCTTATTTTAACCATATCCAAATATAACACTTAAAATTTCAATTATCAAGCATCCTTTTATTAAATTATATCTACACAAGTAAATATTCAAAAAAAAAACTTTTTTCAAATAGTCATCTATACAATTATAATTGTAGAATTTGCTGAACAATATAATAACAGAAAACTAAATATTTTACACTAGCAATATGTAAATTGAGTTGAAATTGATAGAAAATGGAAATAGAGATCTGATATAAAGTTATCTTCAGGAATGTTGAAAAATAACATACACACACACACACACACACATATATGTATATATATATATATATATTATATATATATATATATATATATATATATATATATACATATATATATATATATATATATATATATATATAAATAATTAATATGACAAATGTATTCTGAGTGGATAGATAGATATTAATTTAGAAATATGAACAAACAACACTTTTTTTTGCACTAATTTATTAAATAATAATTTCACAAACGTTTCGAGACTAGGTTTGTTTCATCATCAGTGTGTTATAAATTTAAAATCTAAAATATGGTAACCTATATTATGTGTTATCCGTTACAAGTCGTAATATATTTGTATCTGTCCGCAAATTAACTGTATTATTTTTGTGAGCTATTAACATCGATTCTGCAATACTTCTTTTAAATAAATCTTTTTCATAATATAATATGTGCGGATTATTGAAATCGAAACCATGGTTGTTAAAGATAGCGTGGTCTACGAGTGTACTTTTTTGTTGTATGTTATTATTTTTACTTTGTTTACTTTGTAATTCATGTTGTCTTAATCTTTTTTCTAATTTTGACTTGTTTGCCCAATATAAGATGAATCGCAGTTCAAACAGTTTATTTTGTAAACAATATCTTTTCTTTGATGTTTTTGTATATATCTTGCAGTTGTAGTAAGGGTGACACGGATATGTTAATATTGTGTTTATTAAAAAGTCTTTCGGATAAAAGGTGTAAATCTTTGTCTATATACAGAAAATTCACAAAACATTTATTTTCCAATATAGACGAGTTATTGTAACGAATAACATATAATGCTAATTTGAAAACCATATTTTATATTATAACACACTGATGATGAGACAAACCTAGTCTCAAAACGTTTGTGAAATTATTATTTAATAAATAAGTGCAAAAAATAGTGTTTGTTCATATTTCTAAATTAATGCATATATATATATATATATATATATATATATATATATATATATATATATATATATATATATAACATTATATACTCGTATATATATATATATATATATATATTATATATATATATATATATATATATATATATATAATGTTTATAATCATTTATACTACAAACATTTACACTAAATAATTTTATTTAAATTTTGACACAGTCAAGCTCCAAAACTTATTCAGTCAAATATTACTGATCGTGGAAGATATTGCACATAGAATTAAGTACTTGATTGATTTATCTTAAAAATAACTATATATATATATATATTGTACATATATATCTATAATTATAACAAATATTTAATGCAAAAATTTAATCTTAACAAAATCATATTCTCTAAAAATAAGGATTTTGCATGTTATAACGGTTTTATACTTTCTTATGAACATGATTTACATAAAATATTTGATTTTAGTTTAATATACATGGCAATTCTTAAAATAACATGTTTATTAATTGTGACTATTTTATATAAATGTTGCATTTGGTTGTTTAAAAATTCAATTAAAAAAAATTAAATTACCGAAAAATCTCTTTGATAACTTTTGTTTTTTTCTAAAGAAATTTACTAAGTTAACAATATATTGTTTATAAATATATTTATTAAAACAAATTCAAAAGTAATTTTTAATTTTGATGTAATTTTAATAATCAAATTATAATCGTTTCATAATTAATTTTAACATTGCTTGTTAATTTTATTATTTATAAAAAAAACTATATTTTTTTGTTATGACATGCAAAATCCTTATTTCCTTAAATAAATCTCGATACACTTATTTATATTATTTATATATACACAAACGTGTGTACATTATAAATATATGAGATACATAATTACAAATTAACTTTTACATAATTAAATTAACATAGAAGACAATAGTTTGTAAGAACTCTACATAATAACAAAAATTTCAACGTCTTCTATAAATTTAAAATAAAAAATAATACTCTCGAGTAATTTTTGTCTTCTATGTTACTTGAACTTTCATCCTGATCCTGATCAATATTTATACTACATTATATGTATGTTTTACACAAATTATACATCTTAATTACTACATAAACAGCAAATATACATATATTCCCTAATATATGATATGTTTAAATGTCTCACAATTACGTTCAAATATTTCACAATTTTATTGTTGACGAACAACCATTTACCATTCTTTATATAGAAAATTTGTGCTTTAACTTATTTTTTGATTATAATTAGTTATATTATTCTAATAGTAATAAATTGGAATATGTTTTCACAGTTTTGAGCATTTGATTAAATTTCATCATGTATAGATAGATTATATTGTAAAACTGAACAAAAACATAAGAAAATAGAATTAACTTTAATTTTGTTTAAAGTATTTAAAAAATTTAAAAATTTAAAAATTTATATATATATATATATATATATATATATATATATAAATTATGATTATTAATTATATTTAATTATGAAATTATTTTATTCAACGTTCCACAAATACGGGATGTCCCTTTCTTCAGGAACTATTGATAATAAAAAAATAAAAAAAACATTTATACACTTATTTACTTATTTTAAAATTGAAATTGATTTATACTGATGATTATAATTGATGTATAAATATTTGGAAGAGATTTTATATTGATAACATATATTGCAAACAAATTAAATATAACATAGATTATATTTTAAAAAATATTATGTAGTGAATTCTTAGTAGAATAAAAGTTCAATTACTAAATACAAACAAGAATTGGCAGTTAAATAAACAAAATAATAATCTAAATATTTAAGTAAAATTAAATAAATTACCCTTGTCTACAATTATAAAAAAATATAGTCCATTAATGCTTTAAAATGATATGCATAGAATTACCTATTTATAATACCTTTTACACCCAACAATTACTTTTCCTTTCTGACAATGTTTTTGTTCAGTTATGGCTTACCTTATAATTATCGAAGACTTGTTCATATTTTAAGCATCATTTAAACAACATCTATCCAAAATCGATGTCTCAAATCAAATATGAAGAAACACCCAGGACAATTGTCGTGATTATGGTGAAAGTCATCTGTTGGGAAGCACCGGCTGTCGTTTGCAGATCTGTAGAATGTGCAGATTGCTGGAAATGATAAATGAAATATTAATAATTTATATTGATCATAATGAGTTAATGACAATAATAGTAATAATAATTTTTTAGATTAAAGTAATACTTCAGATTCGTATTGATGAGGAGATGTGCTAATTTTGTTATTATATTTTATTCAAACATATATAAACAACGTCGTCTAATCTAATAAGTTTTCACATTTTGTCTACAAGGAACAAATAATGAATATTCAAGTTTTCATAATATTTATTCCTAGACATTTTTGTTGACTGATTATTTTTACTCTTCAAATGTTTAATTACAGTACGGGATGTTCCAGCATTTTGCCTTAAGGCACAATGCCATGCGCCCCACTAGTTCAGATTTTAATTCCAGCCACAGCAATTTGTGGTCGAGTATATATAAATATAATTATATAATTATCATCTTACCGGTACAGTAGCACAAGGAGTCTGGTTACGAATGAATTTGAACAAAGACTCCACAATATTAGCCGGAGTTGGCTCCTCACATTTCTCCAATTCAGTCACCACACAATTTTGGAGATTATCAATATCTCTAAAACAATAATAAAATTGCTCCATCAAAATTTATTATTATAAATTTATTATATTTTTATATATTTATTATATTATTATATATTTATTATTATAAATTATAAAAACTTTTATTGAAGTTATTATTTAAATATGTATGTTTAATTATACTGACTGGCATTGCTCGGCATCAAGAGTCAATTTAGGCAAATTATCTATCAAAGATGCTGAATTGAAAACATCCGAGTTAATATATTTTGACATTGTGGTATTAACACATTTCTTGATTTCTTCTTGTTTGGATGTCAAACATTCAGGACCACCTTCGGCAATGAATACTGAAATAAAAAAAAAAAAATTAAAATATCGCGATATGAAAAATTAACATATAAATTCCAAAAGCAAGATTGCTTAAGTCGTACTTTCTAAGGGAGTTGTGCAGCATATTTAGTTAAAATAAAAAAAATCTTTAGCATTTATTGAATCTTTATCCAGTTAACTTGTAATTAATAATTGATGATTTTTTAATAAAATAAGTATATTTATACTTTTGGAAAATGTGCTTTCAGTACGATTTAAACGCTCAGTTGCCTTAGTCGTACCACCTATATTATTAATCGAACCTTCTGCCAAAAAAAGTGAACAATTCAGTCAGAGATCAACTTTTCTCTGGTTATCAGTTACCAAATCCAGGATAAATATTAAAACTAGTGGTGTATGGCATATTGCCTTAAGGCAAATTGCTGGAACTTCCCGTACCGTAATGAAATATTCGAGAAATTTTAAACGTTATCAAATATATTATTACAAACATTAAAACTTTCATTGTTTTTGCTATCTTGTTATATCTGAGATTTATGAAATGTAAATCATAAATCAATTTATCTCCAGAACATTAACAATCGTCATTTCATTTCGAATTCAATTTCAAAAAAATAGTTGCCTAATTTACACAAAATTGAAAAAAAGCTCCCGTATAGTCACAGTCTAAATACCCAAATTTGCAAATAATTCTGTGCAACATTTTCACTTATTCTGTGCTTAGCTTGGCGGCATTTTCACATTTTTCAATAGTTTTCACAAAACTGGAAAAGAAAGAAGCTCCAGTATATAAACAGTCTAAACGCACTTGGGTAAACATTTGTACCAGAGTGGCGCTTAGACTGTGCTTAGCCTGGGTAATTTTTTGAATTTTTAATCCAACATTACAAAAATGTTTTATGGAAAATAAAAAAAGATATAATAATTTTTTATCCTCAAAAGCAATTGTTTTGTCAATACAAGCAGAAAGTTTTTTAGAACATTTAAATCGGACGCTTAGTTTACTCAAAAACTCCCATTTTTTGCACATTTAGCTCTGTATTTTCGAAATGGCGGGACCTGTCTTTGCCAAAAACTAATCACCTCTTCTCCCAATCATTACAAATTGAATGTTTTTTAGATCATTCAAATCGGTTGATCCGTGCGCCCGAAAACGTCGACGAAAAAATGCCAATGACATACAAAACACATACACATACACACATCCATTTTTTCTAATGGTCCTACGGGAAGTTAATAAAACATAAAATAAAATTAATTCTCAAAAAGCAAAGTATCTTTCTACAATATTATTAAGACTCTGTTTACAATGATTTGACGTTTCTCAATTAGAGCAAATTTTGCAATATTGGCATTTATTAATTAAAAAAACTCCACAAAATGCTCCCTAATAAATTGAAGCGAATAAGGAATTTTGCACAGGCACGACTTAAGATGCAAAGTCTTCAAAGTTTAAAATTCAAACAAATGGCATAACCTAAACAAGTTCTACCCTTAGAATGGGCTTAATCGATTGTGAAATAAACTATATAAACTATATATAAATAAACATTAGTAAGGTAAACATATGTCAGTATCATATTCTAGCCATAATAAGCTCATAATTGAGTCTTTGTAAATATTATTACAAACTTTGGGAAAAACATACTTTCTAATTACATATTTTTATTTCACCAAGTCTGCCATAGCCTTCATTGTAAATTGTAAACGTTTGCAATGTACATAATTTTTTTAAAATAATTGCCAGAAATATAGAAGGGTACGACTTAGGCAACCAAACCCTATATTTATAAATTTATCATTAGAATTTGTTTAATTGGTATATATCATAAATATATATTTAAAAAACAACGATTTATCTTACAGGCAATTCGATCCCCTTCCTTGAAACAGATAAAATCAGCCAAGCTGTCTGTTACGTTTTGAAATGTCCTTTTATGGTCCTTTTCCTGTTCGTCCAGGCATGGTTCTATCGATAATGTGAAATTGAAGACACATTGTTTAAGGACGGGTGTCAATTGGCAGTATCTGGAAAAAATATGTATTAAATTAAACATGAGGATAATATATTCTAATATATATGTATTATATTTAAACAGTTTATCAAAATTATACAATTTATCCTACAGCAACATATACATCAGTACACTGATAAATCAATCATAATTTAGTATATTGATTCGTCGATTATTTACACATGCCGGAAAGTTCGTTCAGTTGCCTAGGAATAATTCCACTTATACCTAATGCTTTATGTATTTAATTTTATCAAATTAATCTAATTTCAAGAAATGAATATAGAACAATTTTATCGGCTACGAAAGTTTTTTATAATCTAATCAAATTTAATCAATTATCTACTTTGGCAAGATAAGACAAATTTGCAGTAAACACAGGTAATCGCAGATCGAATTCTTTAGAAATAATCAGTTTGAAGTTTGCTGTCGGTTATTATGGAGCAAGTGAAAATGGATCATGACTCAAAATCAAGTGAAAATTTCTTTAGTGATAGCGATGAAGAACGTGAAAAAAATACTGAACTATTCTCATCCATAAGAATCGGAAATTTAGAAGTGGTACAGAATTTATTGGCCGCTGGTGTAAAAACCAACATAGTTGACAAAAATAACAAAGACAATACGCCTTTGCACTATGCTACAGAGAAAAATAAAAAAGATTTGGTGGAGGAACTTTTGCATCCAAAATGGAAAACAGATATCAATGCTAGGAATACAAGGGGCGATACTCCATTGCACATTGCAGTTTCGAAAGGATTTGAAGACATTGTGAAAATATTGTTAAAACACAATGCAAAAGTTGATGTTTCCAATAACAGCGGTAGAACACCTCGACATATTGCCAAAAGTATCAATAATGAAAAAAATGCGCAAATGTTGTGCCCAGTATTAGCTATAAGTGAAAATCAATCAGAACATATGGTAGGAATTGACCAAGAAGCGAGCACTTCATTCACAAACGAACCAAGTAAGTAAACTTCTGTATTTAACATCATGTAACAACATAACACTTGCATCATAAAGAAGCCTTTCAAAATTCTCGAAAATTTATTTTTTTCATAGTTTAAAAAAAATTTGAACATTTTCTAAAAAAAATATTTTTTGGTCCGGGAATTTCAGCATTTTGCCTTAAGGCACGATGCCATGCCCTATTAGTTTTACTTGTTTATTGGATCTCCAAAACCGCTAGACCTGCCTTCAGAAGTTATCACTTCTTCATTTCCTCAACACAAATAAAATGTTTTTTAAATCATTATCAAAAACTTTGGCACTTTTTTCCCTGTATCTTCGAAAAGGCTGGACTTGCCATTGCCAAAAACTAATCACTACGTTTCCTCATCATTATGAATTGAATTTTTGCATATGTTCGCGTATTGAAGGGCTTTTGAACATTTTAGCAATCCTCATAAAAAGTGATATGTGTTTGTGTGTGTGGGTGTGTGAGTATGGATACAATTTTTCGTCGTGAAAATTTCGTAATTTTCAGAAAAAAAATTAAATTTTGAAAAATTTCAAAAACTATCAAACTTAACAAAAAACGATTCCTTGCATTTTTTTTTCATTTTTCAAAAAAATCTAATACTTTCAAAGATTATCAAATTCACAAAAAATTTAAGAAAAACGTTTTTTTTTTCAAAATTTTGAAAATATTTCTGAATTATCAAAAAAATGAACAAAGTTGTTTGTAGAATACTCTCGTCTAATTTAAAATGCACATATAAGTTTACAGTATGTATTTATAATAAATAATCCATTTGAAATTATTCAAAACAATTATTGAAATTTGAAATTATTGATTATTGTCTCGAATGTTTAATTGCGGTACGGAAAGTTCGAGCAATTTGCCTTAATTATTCAAATCGGTTGATCTGTGTTCACAAAATCGTCGACTAAAAATTATATCCGCACATGCATGCATACACCCACACATACATATACATACAATAACAAACTAAAAAAGTTCAACTTGATCTTTTTAGGAGGACAAACTTTTGGGACTCGAATAAAAAGTCTCCCTGCAATTCAAGAGTATAAATATCCAAAAAGACCAGGAACATCAGGAATAGGAGGACAACATTATGAAACAAAATTGATAATGCTGATGTTGGTAAGAGCCTTAAACAGGGCAGAACTAGATTCTTTTGCTTTAGGTACAAATGTCGAAGGTTTAGGTGCTTTTGACGACATAGTTCTGAGGTATAAGTTGAAAGATGAACAAAAACTAAAATACTTTTTCATACAAGCTAAACACAAAGATGACCCCGCCAGGAATAAAGTTACAGCAGAAAAACTACAGAAAAATGATGGAGATTTTGGTCTACCGAAGTATTACAATAGTTATTTATCTATTAAATATAAATTCAATCCGGACAGTGAAGATCCTGTATTCGCAGAATACTTTCAAGATTTAGATTGCAACTTCATTATTTATACACCTTCTAAGGAAGCAATTAATCACAACAAAAATGAAAATCTTTATACAAACAATGATGACTTGCTGCACACAAATGCCAAAGGAAAAACCCTTCCATTGGAATCTGTTGAAGTGCACGGTCTTGTCCAAACCATAAAGGGAATACGTGTTAAACAATTAGCTGAAAAAATGTATGAATTTATTTTTTCTAAGCCAGATAATTACAAAAACATACTCTCGGATAACCTGATGAAAACCTATCACGTATTTTTGGCGCAGAATATCATACTTGTTACTGATAACAAATCCGAAGAATATTGCACTGGAAAATTTAGACCCGATGGTAACAATTATTTGTTATCTATTTTTAACAAAATAATTGAAGAAAATAGATTAAAAGAAAACAAAGATGCTGTATTATCATTCAAATTACCGATTGGTTTTGGAAATCTTGATTTAAAAATAAGAGGAAACGAAAAGAAGCAAAACAAAAGATTAGATCATTTGTCATCAAAGTTAATTGAATTATTAAAAAGTTTGAAAGATGCGGATAATATTATTAGAATTGATGACAAAATAGTTGGTGCTGAAAAACTTCTCACAAAAGGTGAATTGGATATCAACGGCGGTATCGGTGGTTTAGTTGGAAATCTTCTCATTTTGGATGAATCGAATGGATTGCTCAAATTCAATACTGACGAAGATTCATTACCAATGTGTTCCAAGAATCTTTTCGAGAAATTACAAGCCGGCTTAACACATGAGAGTTTAAATCAAGTACGATTTGAAATTGATATCAAGGATTTTCCCAAGTTGTCCTTAATCGACAACAAGCTGTTCAGACAATTTTTATATCAAACAAAATTATATACTGATCAAGCAAATGAAGATGATGTGGAAAAAATAATTAAGCAGGAAATCAATAAATATTATCAAAAAAAACAATCGTTTTTTGATTCAAGTTTTGAAATCGATACCGTTTTTGAAAACGTTCACAATAAGATACAGGAGTGGTGGAAATGTCAACATCAAACTTCGTACTTAACAGAAAAATGTAATTATTTTGATAATGTGTACAAAGAGATTCTAGTAAACAGTTTGAGAATTATGTATATTAAGAGTATCGAACGTTTTGGCATCGAATTTCAATATGATTCGATTACAAAACTGCGATTGTCAAAATTTGAAGATCAACTTGAGAAACAAGTGTTAAATATTATCACAAAGCAAAAGTTATTAACTTGCATTAAATTAGTACAAAAGTATGGAAGGCGTAAAAATGTCGAATTTATTGACCTGCAGTATCTCTATTCTTCACAATCGCACGATTACCTAAAAGAGGTGTTGGAAGCATTAGAACAAACAGAATGGCAAATTCTAATAATTGTCTCAGACGTCACCGAAAAAAATACAAATGAACTCTGCTCAATTTTTTTAAAATTACTAAATTCTAATAATAAGAAAAAACTAATTTTAATCTCTCAAATGAATGATAAATTCAAAGACTATTTTGATAAAATTGGTAGTTTTTGTGAGCAAGAAGATGATCATATTAATTTGAAAAATCTGAATGAAAATTCACAAAATATAATTTTATCAAAAAGGATCATATTTCAAGGAGAAGAAACTTGTTTGAATACCATAATAGATGGTTCTTCCGAAAATCTTATTCAAGGTGAAGTTTTGTCCACTCTTGTTAATGATAATATTTTAGAAATTGGAAAAACATTAGTAGATGCAAAATACACGGAATTTTATATAGACCGAACATTAGTTGGCCGAGAACAATTTAATGATAAATGCAAGAATAAACGGCAGTGGGTTAATAGTCATGACCAATCAGCCGCAGTCAAACAATTTCTTTTGCATTTCAGACCGAGTGCCAGTACAACTTTTAAAAAACTAACAGATTCATCAGCGAAAGTATTAATCATTTCCGCCGATCCAGGTATGGGCAAATCAACGACATTGACACATTTAGCAGTGCAGACTAAACAACATGATCCATCCTTATGGATTTTACGAATTAATTTAATAAATTATGCAACCGAATTACAGCAGGAAGTAGAAAATCAAAAGGAAATCAAAGAATTAGATGTTATTAGGTTCCTATATAAAACTGCAAGTTTCAAACTTTTTCAAAAAGAAGAAAAAGAGAAAGACGAACGATATTCCATTATCGAATATATACTAAACAATTTAATTATTGAAAACGAAAACTTATTTCTGAAAGCATCTGAAAAACAGATTAATGAGTTGGATTTGTTAGAAATAAAACTATTTAACAATTGCTACAACAACGAGAAAATGATTTTACTATTTGATGGATTCGATGAGATTAGTCCACACTACAAAGATAAAGTTCTGGAGATGTTTCTTATTTTGAAAATGAGCAAAATACAGAAATTATGGATAACTACCCGTCCTTACAATATAATCAAAATCGAGTTGGAAAATAAACTTGAAATTCCTTCGTACTCACTAGAGCCACTATCTCCTGAACAACAAATCAATTTCTTACAAAAATTCTGGAAACAAAGTTGCAAAATTAAGGAATGGAATGATGAACAATCGGGAAATCTTATTTGTAAAATATTAAATATCATAGGTGTAACCATTGATTATAATTCACTTATAAGTATTCCATTGCAAGCACTCATGGTGGCAAACGTCTTAAAGTATAATTTCAAAGATTTTTACGAATCTGGCAACCAAACTCTTTCGATTAATCAGATTCGCCAGATGAGCGATGAGCTGAATCTGGTGAATTTATATGAAAAGTTTGTTGAAATAAAATATTTTAAAATTGAAAGCAAAGAAAAGCGAAATATTGACATTGCCGATTCATATAATATGGTCAAAGAAAGCAAAAATTACCGATTGGTTCTAGAAAATCATGAATTATTAGCGTTATTTTCATTACTTGAAAAAGCCGAGCTTGTAAAAATATTAGATCAAAAAGAATTGGAAAACATTCGAGTTTTAATGGAAGAAAATGAGCAGGCTATTGAAAAATTAGGAATTATTGTTGGCAATATTGGCGAAAAGCCAAAATTTATCCACCAAACCTACGCTGAATATTTCGTCTCTTGTTATTTTTGGAATAAATTCAAATCTATTAGTATTGATGACTTTGAACAATGTTTTGTAGAAGATATTTTATACGGTGTCATTAATAAATTTCAAAAAATACAAGTGATGAAATTTTTACAATTACAAGCAAGGCATAACAAAAATGATATTACCACTTTCGACAAAGGGATTAAAATTCAAATGCTATTAAAAAATATTGCCGGATTCTATCACATGATTTTCGAATTAATATTCGAATTTGTTGCTGATTTAATGGCTGATGAAAAAGATGCACATGAAATTGTAAATATGATTCCTGATCAAAATCATCAATACGAAATATTACGTGCTAGTGCAAAAATTGGGCATCAAAAACTTTCTTATGCCTTAGTGGATAAACAGGACGCAGAATTCTTAACAGACCATGTCACAGAATCGACATTTACTGAAAACCCCTTGTTTTTAGCAATTGATAATGGGCAACATAATATCGCACAATATATAATTGATAAAATGTTGCTTGATGAAAATTGGAGACAAAAAAGGTTTAATCCAATCAAGAAAAATATAATTGAAAACAATTTAATGAACTATCTAGAATTTGGTTTGAAGTTGAATTTGATTGACGGTAAACCATTCTGGAATGATGGCTATGGAAAGAGTTTACCGATAATTGAAATAGTTAAAAAACATTCGCCACCTGATACAGCTTGTCTGCTGATAGAACAGACTGACATCAAGGATTTAATTTTGGCATACGATAGTGACAACCTTTTATCGTACTTGCTCATGCACAATAAAATGATAACATTGAAATTCATTGTAAAGGGTTTTGATTTCAATATAAGTTTAAACACACTTTTAAAAAGCTATTTAGGAGAACTTGAAACCAATAACCGTTATTTTTCTAATGTCTGGATGCCACAATTTCCGTTCGATGATTGCCATATTTATATCAATACAAATGATGATTATGTCTGCGATTTATATGATAGGGTCGTACTTATTCTCAAAGGTGGTTCGGGATATAACTCTTGTATTGATGGTTTTACGACAGTTCAGAATGCTGAAAAGTTGTATTATAAAACACAAGCACTAAAAAAAATATATAATATGCTGAAAAAGTATATTGATAAAGGTTGCGATACACTGGGTGTAATACTTCGAATGATAATTGAAGTTTTTATTAAATTAAACTGCCATCGATATGAGATTCAAAATTTATTTTTGTTAGCCCATAATACCAGCCTTGGTTATTATAGAATACCGCTATTTCCTCAACATATTTTAGAATGGAACAAAACACTGAATGAGAATGAAGATTCAATACAAATTTCAGAAAATCTCAAAAAAATGCGAAGTTGGTTTATTTCTTTAAACAACAGGAATCTACAAATAACACCTGAACCAAATCTGATATATCGCGTTTCTAATTTGAAAAAAAAAAAAAGACTTGAAGATGCATTCACACAAGTGTCAAAAGAATATTTAAGATTTGGAAATATAATGGCAAAATTACTTAAAACGAATGGCTCCTTTGATAATGATGAATTGTTGGATGTGCTAAATATAAAAGACATAAATATAGATGATGAATTCAAAAGTTTAATACTTGAATTCGTTGAGCACAATGAATATGGTATGTTATATCGCATTTGGGCAACATTTATGAAAGAAGGAGAGAGTATGATCAATGATTGTCTAATAAAAAAAGAGCTTGTAATTTTCGATAACTATTCAGAAATTTATAAGCTATTGAAACAGCTTAACGAATATTTTGTTGAACTAATGGATGCAATTTTAAATACAAAACACCAGGAAGTGAAACATATTCTGCAGCAAATAAATACTGATTTTGTGAAGGCAGTTATTAATGGTCACGATGTTGACTACGGTTCTCCATTACATTACACAGCATTCAAAGGAGACTCAGAAATGACTAAAATCCTTCTGAAATTTGGAGCCAATGTTAATATTGTATTAAAATCTAATCATAAATATTTGGTTCGTTATCGCGCTTTTGCAGAAAATAATTATAATTGTTTTTCTCCTTTACAAATCGCAGCGGAAAAAGGCCATTATGAGATTGTTCAGATTTTGATAGACAATGGTGCCAAAGCTAAAGTACCTTGGATAGCCTCAATGTTACTTCTATGGTTATGTAAAAGTGGCTATACAAAGACTATGGACATTCTCTTAAAGAATTCCGCGGATGTTGATACCGTCGATGAGAAACGACGTACAGCATTACATCATGCAGCCATTAATGGCCACAAAAAAGCGGTACGATTATTAATAGAAAATGGAGCCAATGTTAATGTATTTGATAACTTGCAATGGTCACCATTCGATTATGCTTTTTTAAATGGTCACAATGAAATTGTGCAATTTTTATTAAGCAACGGTGGGGTTGACAAAAGTCAGCTTTTACATGCACCCAATCAAAGTCCTATTAAAATTCTCGAGCTTTTGTTTCCAAGAACCATTGGCCCCTTAAATGCAGGAATATCAACTTATTTGCATTACGCAGCTGAAGTAGGTGACAAGGAACTCACTGAGTTATTGTTGGAGGAAAGTGAAACTGAAGTAGATGCTCTTAACGATAGCGAAGAAACACCTCTGCACTTGGCAGCCCAAGAAGGTCATTGTGAGATTGTTCAGATTTTGATAAATGCTGGTGCCAATGTTAATGCTACAAATATCAACAAAAAAACTGCACTACACTGGGCGGCACAAAATGGCCACAAGGAAACAGTTGAATGTTTAATAAAAAACAAAGCTATAAACAACTTTTTTAACAAATATATTTTAACACCATTTGAACTGGCAAATATCAATAAACACAAAGAAGTAGTTGAAGTTTTATTAAAGAATGGCGCAAAAGACAGTGAGTAGAAACCTTGCTGGTAATGTCATTAGTTTCCTTATAAATGTTTCTAATGTTTATTAAAATTATCAATGCCTATTAAATTTATTTTTATCTCTATAAAGCTGGGTCGATAGAAATAATAATTATCAGAATTAAAATATAAAACTAATTTATAAAAAATATAAAGAATAATTTTAAAATAAACATAAGACATTTTTCAATGCAATTTGAACTAATAATCATAACGTTGTTACTCAAACTCATATTGATAGGATCTCATATTCGCATATTTTCTTTTACTCATTGAATAATGCATAAACTGTATCATATACCTACTTTTTAAAAACTAAATCTAAATCTCCTGTCGGTTTAGCCTTTTCCATCTCCTGTTTAAGCTCCTCCATATTCAGCAAAGATGTAAAACAAGTCTTTAGCTCATCTTTGGCGGCCTAAAGATAAAATTATAAAATGATAAAATAATCGACAAATCCAATTGAAGATAAAACTAGTTGTGTATGGCATCGTGCCTTAAGCAAATTGCTGAAACTTCCCGTATCGTAAGAAAATGTTCGAAGAATAAATGCTTATAAAGAGAGCATTATAAATACTGTAACATTGTCTAATATTTATAAAAATTATATAAACTTAATTACAAAGTTAAAATTATTTATTTAAAGTATATAAGTGAGCTTTAGACAAAACCAGCGGGCACACAAAACACACACACACACACACCCATTTTTTCTAAGGTATGCCAAAATGTTCAGAAACCTCTGAAACGTGAAGATATAAAAAAAATTCATTCTCGATTTTCGGCCCATTACTATAACTTACCCTAGGGGAAGTTTAAAAATGTATACTTACAAAAGCTTTATTGTAAGCATCGTCGCTTCCACTTTCCTTTCTGCATTTTTCTCTGGCCAGTTTTTCCGCTTCCTCTGTCGAAGGAAGTGCTGAAATGTTCAATTTTCCGACCAGATCTTCTGGTAATTTGTCAACAACCTCCTGCAGATTAATCTCGTCTTCTGCTTGTACACAAAGCACTCCACCTGGTAATGGTAATATGATTAGAAAAAGTTCATTTCACTTATATAATATAAATATATAATAATATTAATAAATTTATGAATAATAAAATTCCGCTGAAGCCAATAAGAAAATATAGGATGACCATTTAACTAGGTTGCCTTTAGAAAGTTCATTTTAATACTTGACTTCTACGTTAAATCGATTTAATCATTTAGCATTGCTTGCTGTGTCAAATTTAATATGACAATTTTCAAATTTTTTCCTCATTATCGTATAGTTTGTTGAATTGCTGATTTGACACAGTCAAACGGTCACCAAGGCCGATGCACTCATTCTATTAATATAATATCATAAAACATTACGAATCATCTTCCTCACATAAGACACGTGCCTTCATTATCAATTATTTCGTTTAATAAATAATTATTTAATGATGATATTAAATATACACAACTCGTCTTCAAGATTGTTTCTGTTACCTTCGCCCTTGAAAAGTAGCATTTGGGAATCTGTTCTTTAGTAAAGATCTTTTAAAATCATAGGAAAGTGGTTTGATTATAAAAATTCATTAAAGATGGAAATGGGCCGTGCCAAAATTTCAAAATTCGATCACCATGAAAGTTGCAAAATTTTAATACTTTTTGAATAAGTCGATTATTTACACATATCAGAAAAATTTTGTAATTTTCCTTAAGGAAAATGCCACTTACACCTAGTTCTCAAAAAATCTTGAATTTTAAATATCTCAAATTGCTTATGAAATATAATTTTAATTTTTGACAAAATTGTTATGTCTGTCTACAATAAAATAATAAAAATAATTCAAATATAATAATTATTATATTTAAATTATTTTTGTTATACAAATATATATATATTAATATAAATAGAGATATAGTTAGTTTATATTACATTATATTGAGCCGAGATAAACATAATTGTTTGGCTTTTTTTTAGTCTAGGAGGCATCATGTCCTCATCTTTAGTTTTTTTTTTTGAAATTTCTAGTTGTGTTGATTTTTCTTATTAAAGTTTTAAACAGAATTTTTTGACTGATAATGACACACGTTAATAAATAATATTTTCTTTTAACTCGACGTCAAAAAAACTATATATATATATATATATATATATTATATATATATATTATATATAAATGAATATAAATACATATATATATATATATATATATATATATATATATATATATACATATATATATATACTCTCATTTCATCCTATTTGTATTGATGTAACGCCTGACTTTTCAAATAAAATATATTGTATCAACATCAAATTCAAATCTATTCAAACATATATATATATATATATATATATATATATATATATATATTGTATAATTATATTATATTATATTCTATTATATTATATCATGTTATATTATATCATATTATATATAATAAATATTTATCCTGTATAAAATATTCATGTATAATGCTGCACTAATTGTTTACCTAAAACTAAAAATAAATGTATAATGTGACTCCTGTATCTAACAAGAAATTGTTTATGTAAAATGAATAATATAGAATTTAAATATATTTGCATATTTCTACAAAATTGTTTCAAACACAATTTTACAGCAAACTCTGGCCATGATTCTCAGATGACGTACAAAGCAAAAACTTATTTATTGTTAAAAACTAATCAGCAAGAAATAAATAAATAGTTTTTTTTTATAACTGCCATCAGTCGCGGTGTCTAGATTTGAAATATAAAAAAACTAGACCTTAGACATTGAATTGAAGAATCAATAAATATGCATTTCATCGCATAAATTTACATAATCAAACTGCTGATTAGAAAATAATAAAATATTGAAATTTAATTAGCGACATTTTTAATAATACTTTTGACATAACCTTAAAATGATTTCATATTAAACATTTACTTTAAAATTTATTGGTAACAAAAATTATTAAAAATTTTGTAATATATACATAAGATTATGCATACCATAAAATAAATAATACTTCATGTTTCAATTGGTGTTTTAATACAATTTTTACTATTTTAAAAAACTTGGACGTTATCGTTTTGTAGTTAACTGTCAGTTTTGTTGTGAATATTATACTAATTTTGCTAATAAGTGTAATTAAACTGATTGTAACTTAATATGCAATCTATATAAATAGTAAAAGTTATAAATATACTTACATTACGCGTTCCAAATTATATACATCTATCTAATTTCAAAAACAATCTAGAAAATTCGCCATTAAGCCTCCATTACAACATGATTAGATCTAACGTATTATACATAACCTTTACTTAAAAATTATTATTAATAAAATACTAAAAAATATTGAATTTTCGAACAAAATGCAATTTAAGTAAATAGTTATGATGCATTTAACCGATAATTCAATTTATAATTAGTGTTTTAAAACAATTTTTGTTATTTAAAAAACATGGACGTTATCGTTTTGTAGTAAACTATCAGTTTCATTGTAAATATTACTAATGCTGCTAATAAGTGTAATTGAAATTATTGTTACAACTAAATATGCAACTTGTATAAATAATAACAGTTTTATATGTACTTACATTAAGTACAACATGTATATTATCACTAAAAGAAAATACACGATTCGCCATTATGCAAATGAAAAACACAACCACCTTATTGCTAAAGTGACGTCACGACCACAGCTACCAACAAACACGTTTGAAGATTTAAAAAAAAAATGTGTTGAAAAAAGAAAATTTATGTGGAAAAATTATTTATTTCAACTAAGAAATTGACTCTCCTTTAGCACAAGGTTTGTAGTTTTATATAAAATAAATAGTTATTACACAAATATTATAATAAAATATGTATATCAATTTGAATTTATTATAACGGCGTGAAGTCGTCAAACATTCCGGTGTGTTATAAAAGTAGAAAACCTAATTTTAAAATAATTAATAAATTAATAAATTAAGACACCAATCTCTCTAATGTGGAATTATGTAAACACGATTTTCAATTATATTAAATATAATAACTAATATCAAAACTTCCAATAACTATTTGCAAGAATAAATGACAGTTGCCGCCATTTTGAAAAAACTGACAGATGCATTTAAAAAATTAATAAATGTTTAAATAATTATATTCAATTTATTATAATTAAAGAAAATGTTATATTAACAAAAAACTCAAACTTCTGTTTTTTTTTAAGCATATAAAACTTTTTTACTAATATTCTCAAAATTTATATATTCATCACTTTATCATTTATTATTTCATCATTCTTTCAAAATGCTGACAGGCCTCTCAAAAAGTCTAAAAAAACTATTTTGACCTACAGAATAATATCTTTGAAAACAAAGATTCATATACAAAACATTGAATTGTGTGAATATATATATTAATCAGAATAAAAATAGAAATAAAGTACAAAGTCTAATCAAGCTCGCGATAATAAAATCCACTGAATCATACAATGGTACTGAATCACAAAACAAACAATAAGTATAGATGATATGTATATACTCAAACAATTTGATTATTCACAGGAAACCTGATATTTTTTTATATATAATCTTATTTGTATTTTTTATAATCGCTATTTTTCACACTCTATTGTTACATATTTTAGTTGTTAAATTGAATTTTTGGGTTACTCAATGAAGGCTAGAATTATAACCGAAACGTATGGAACTTCATGATTTTATACTCTGACAATACATAATGTCGTTTAATGTCAGATTCTATTAAAAAGGAATTCGATCCAAACAAATTAAAAGTGATTGTATATTATTTAATCTCTTAATAAAATTAAACTAAAGGTCACCTACTTGACTTGCATAATATTTGATTACAATTTATGACAATGTAATATCTGATACATATATATATATATATATATATATATATATATATATATATACTAGATGACCCGACAGACGTTGTCCTGTACCCACGTCTGCAATTGAAAAGATCCAAATTTTTCATATTTTATCCTATACTTTTTAATATCCTATTTGATGTCCTGTCTTTGTGATTCATTCATGGTCTTAGCATAAGCAGTATAAAAAATTCAGAAAAAAATAATATAGTAAATTCAGTAAAAGAACTTGATTGAGAACACTTGATTTTACCACACAATTTAATTGCTTCGATAATTTAGCCTATAATTTTCATAATCTCGTACGATATATAAGTTGCTTTTTGGCAATTATAATTTCTAAAGTACATTTTTCTTACTAATAATTTATTTAAAAGTTTATTCTTTATGTTCAAATCTTAGGTGAAATAATTTGTAAAATCTAGTTCAAAGTCTCCACCTCAGAAAATCCTAACATAGAAATCTTCAACCCCAAAAAAATCTCTATTGAAATTTATAAACCAATTCATCTATGTTTGGTTATTATTTTATTTTATCTATGTATTATTATTTGAATATATGAAAATTTTTAATGAATTATTGACAAAATGTTTTTATGTTAATATAGGGCCATAAGCATATAAATTAAACGTGAACTATCTTTATATACATTTTTGGTTATAAGTTTGTTCGAAAGATTACAATTAAAAATCGCATTGATTATAGTGAAAGCAAAAAGTACCTAATTAGCTAAATCTGCTTTACTATTAAATCGATTATAATCTTTACATTAAATCGTTAAATTTACATTCAGAAATTTCTAATTACTCAGAGAGATAAAATCCTTTCTGTTCACATTATTTAAAGTCTTTGTCAACAGGTGATTGTTAAATGCAAATATTCGCATTCATTGTTCATTAATGTGCAAATATAATTTAATGGCTTATAAAAAATTAATTTGCGTCAAACGAGCTATAAAATTATATGGGGAGTCATTTAATTTTATTAACGTGACTTAATAAACCGAAATTGTTTCGAATGAAAATGGAAATAAAAATAATTTATATAATATATATATATATATATATATATATATATATATATATATATATATATATATATATTATAGAAATTATATACTTTAGAACAATTTACAAACTTGCACAAAGTTTATTTCATTATAAATAAGAAAGTTTGAAGACCAAGAGATCTTAAATTTCATTCAATTTTTTTAATATAATTTTGTTCTAAACGACTCGAATTGTTATACACAGATTTATAGATAAAATTATCTACTTTTGAATGATATTTAGTAATATATATGTATTTAAATTTTTTTTTAAAAATTTATCAATATATGAAAAATGTAACCAGACAACTCAACATCTTAGTTGGCTCTGTATTCAATTTTAAAATATAATCAATATTTTTAATTTAATTTTGTTCCAAACGATTTAAATCGCTGTACACAGATTTATAGATAGTTTTATTTACTTTTGAACTATATATAATCATATATACATTTTTGAACATTTTTTTAAAAACTTGATCAAAATATTAAAAAAATGTGACCAGACAACCTGACATCTTAATTTAAACAAATGGCCCTGCATTCAATTTCAAATTTAAACTTTTTTCTAAATTAATTCTGTTCCGAAATATTTATATGGTTATACATAGATTTATATATAATTTTATCTACATTTTAGCAATGTATAATAATATATGCAGGTTTAAATAATTTTTCTAAACATTGATAAAAACATAAAAAAATACAATCAGAAATATATAAGATAAAATCCTTTCTGTTTACATATTTAAAGTCTATATAAATAAATATTTATTATATTTATATAATTTCTGTGTTTTTACTGGTTTGGTATGTATATAATTTTATCCATTTTATATTTTTATATTTAATATCAACTATTGTTATTTATGTAATATGTTTTTTCTAAATTGAATGATGACACACATTAAGTGTCGAAACGTTTAATGGATAAAGAATTTTTCTATTTTTTTTTTTTAATTCGACGATTAGACTGCAAAATACTTCAAATATTTATATAAATATATATATATATATATATATATATATATATATATATAATATATATTGTTTTATTTTAAAATATCGCCATATATATTTCTTTAAATATATTTCTTATAACAATTATTATTTTCAATGAATTAATTATGCAAGCAAACAAGAACAAACGATATATTTATACATTATAATTGTATACATTTTTAATCGAATACAGTTAATCGAAGCATGAACAAAAATCGGTATAAAGTTCTTATATGATTCTGTATTTCAAACCTGTTTTTACTTTTAAGTTTTTTTAAGGTTATGACACAAAGCAAAATATTTTATTAAATAATAAAAGTACTACTTACCAAAAACCGACAACAGACAAATAGCCAGGATTAATTTCACCATTTTTTATTTAGTAAATGCACAATTTTGTTTAACAAATGAATGAAAAACCGTATAAAATTTTCGTTGATTAATGAGACGAATGGTAATAATTAATGTTGTTAATTGTATATTAATATTTTTAACACTATGCTAATTAAATTTAAATCATTCTTTGTTCGAATGCTATTTATTACTAAATAATATAACTAAAGTTTTGTATCTAAATCACAGCCGACGAATACGAAGCGGTTTTGACGTACGAATACGAAGACGAGTACCAACACATGCAAACAAGAAACTTGTATGCAGATGTTGGCAACCTGTTGAAAGGATTCGAATTTGAAATCTTAATTTAATAATTCTATTTTATTTTTAATTAAAAATATGATATTATAACATTAATAATTTATGCTTAACGATACTATTTTTTATGGTATATAAGCAACTGTATTTGAATTTTATCAGAATGGTTTAATAATATAAATTTTTAAATTTTTCAACATAGTGAAGTTACAAGTTGTTTCATTTTCAAATTCATTTTTTAAATTTAAGGAAAAATGCCACTTACAGCTAGTTTGAATCACAATATAACCCAAATCGTGTGTGCAATCTTATATATATATATATATATATATATATATATATATATATATTGCTTCCATATTTCTAAAATAAATTATTTCAAGAACAAAATTATCTCAAAAACTATTCGAAAATGTAGGCAGCAATTATTAATGCCCTTTGATGTATTATCAAGATATAGAAATAAGAAAGTAACAATAATTTTAGTTAATTACATGCAAATGCAATGTAATTAACTTTCGTTCAGTCATAGTTCAATAAATGAACTGAATAAAAAATTTTATTGCTAATGTATCTTATATATAAAATTCTTGTATGTAAATATACTCTTCTTAAACAAATATTCAGATTTTGATAAATCTTTCTGAAGTATGTTAAAGGAATATTTTAGGATGTATGTAATTATTAAAATAAAGTAATATTGTAAAAAAAAATATTGTTTGACATTGAAAACATTTTAATACATTACAACTGTCATCTGCCAAAATTGTCGATTCACCTGAAATTTGAATTTAGTTTAAGCGAGTCTAGACAATATTAGTATATAATATCCATAATCCAGGGTACGCAATTATAAAAATTATAGACTATTATATATTATATAAATTATTAAAGCAATTATATTGGTTGGAAATTACAAAGGTGATAGTGTTTGTTTACTGTATTTATTCTTTCTGAATTTCTTATACTGAACAAAAAACTGCATTTCCAATATGTATATAGCTTATGCTGAGACCATAAATGGAAGGACATTAAATGGGATATTAAAAAGTATAAGGTAGTATATTAAAATATTTGTAACTTAAATTGTAAATGTTTTTTTACAATGGGTACAAGACAACGTCTGTCGGGTCATCTAGTATTATATAAATAAATACCATGTTATAACTTTTCAAAACGTGAATAAAATCTTTATTAAAAACACACAATATACATACACATTAAAAATTTGTTCTATATACACTCCAATATTATGAAACAATTGTTTGATTAATTTTTTGGCTAAACGTCGCTTTGCATCACACGTGTTTATTCATTGGCAACTAAATTCGCTTATTGATACAAAACAGGCACTCTTGGCAATAAGACGATTTGTGTATAATATTCATGTCTCTTGAAAACTAATTATTGTGTTACCTATCGAGTCTGCGCTGCAACAATGGGACATTGCAACTTTTGAATCAAACGGTGTAAAAACCTGAAATTAATTTGATATATAAACAAAACTGATAAAAATTTATTATGTAACATTTAATATATCTTACCCTGTCTACTACTGTAGGTATTTGATAGCTATCAACATATAATGCTAATTTGTCTAGTATTACGTTTGCTGGTAACGTTTGTCTTCCAAAAATATGCTAAAAATTAAAATCATTTTTATAAATTCAAATTGCATGATGTTTCTTATAATGTCTACCGCCTACCTCAATAATCCGTTTAGCATAAAAACCAAAAGAATATATTGTCCTCAATATTAAACCAAAGCTATCGCTCAACAATTCAGGCTCAATAGTATTAATAATACATCCATCCTTATTTATGAAATTCAACCACTGCGTATGCTTCATATTTGATTCCACCGTTAAAAATATCGTATCAAATGGATCATTCAGATGCAATTCTTTTAACAATAAATCAGTGCTATTCTGAAGTTCATCTTCTGCCATACTGCTGTCTACATTTTCAGGAATTAATGTTATGACATCATGAGCCCCTGGGAGTTGAAATATTTGTTTAAATAATAGGTTATATTTAATTTTAGGTATAAATATTTATACCTAAAGCTTTGGCGACTTTTATGCCAATCGGTGCACATGATACTGTAATGTGAGCTCCCCACGATTGTAGTAATTGTCCAAGGATGCATCCAACTGGAGAGTTTCCACCCAAAATGAATATTCTAAATGAAATAAAATTATATTAAAATAATAATGAACAAAATACAATGTCAATTTTAATATTAGATATAAAAAAATCTCTATTATTACAATTGAAGTATGTAAAATATTAAAGAAAAATATTAAGGTATTGAAAGAATTTAGAAAAAGTTATTATTATTGCTAACCTTTTATTTTTAGCAGTGGCTTCATTTAAATTAGCACCTTCGAGTGCTTTCATCGCAATAAAACCACCATAAGGAAGACTTGCAGCAGCTGTAAAAATTTAAACATAGGTTTATAGTTAATTTAAAATGAATTAAAAAAAAACATTATAAAGTAAATAGTTATAGTTAAGAATTTCTCAGTTTTTTGTGCCTCACATGAATAAAAAAATAAGTCTAATAAACTTGTTTGTTAAATGGCAAAAAGAGTGTATTTAATTTGAATCGTTTGCAATCGTTTGAGAAAGTTAAAGATAAATAATTATGATGAGTGAATATTTGTTTTAATTCTATTATTAACTTCCAGTAGATAAAACAACTTTATCGGCAACGAAAGCTTTTCATAATCTAATCAAATTTAAACAATTATCTATTTTGGCCAGATTATACAAATTTGCAGTAAACAACAGGTAATCAATCGCAGATCGAATTCTCTAGAAATAATCAGTTTAAAGTTTGCTGTCGGTTATTATGGAGCAAGTGAAAATGGATCATGACTCAAAATCAAGTGATAGTGATGAAGAATGTGATAAAAAATTGAAACTATTCTCAGCTATAATAATCGGAAATTTAAAAGTGGTACAGAATTTACTGACCGCTGGTGTAAAAACCAATATAGTTGACAAGAATAATAAAGACAATACGCCTTTGCACTACGCCACAGAGAAAAATAAAAAAGATTTGGTGAAGGAACTTTTGCATCCAAAATGGAAAACAGATATAAATGCCAGAAATAAAAGGGGCGATACTCCATTGCACATTGCAGTTTCGAAAGGATTTGAAGACATTGTGCAAATATTGTTAAAACACAATGCAAAAGTTGATGTTCGCAATAACAGTGGTAGCACATCTCGGGATGTTGCCGGGATTATTAATAATGAAAAAATTACGCAAATGTTGTGCAAAGTATATTAGCTATAAGTGAAAATCAATCAGAACATATGGTACGAATTGACGAAGGAGCGAGCACTTCATTCACCAACGAACCAAGTAAGTAAACTTCTGTATTTAACCCACTTGCATCATAAAGAATAAGCCTTTTAAAATTCTCGAACATTTATTTTTTTCAAAGTTTAAAAAAAAATTGAACCTTTTCTAAAAAGTTTATTTTTTGGTCCGGGAATTTCAGCAATTGCCAACATTTTGCTTGAGTAGAGTAAAAAAAAAAATGAAAATTTTAAAAAAAATTCAAAGTTTCAAAATTTTCGAAATTTTTCATCATTTTCAAAAAAGAAACTAAATTTTGAAAAATTTCAAAAAATATCAGAATTAAAAAAAAAGATTTCTTACAAAAAATTTTCAAACTTGATCTTTTTAGGAGTACTAACTCTTGGAACCCAAATAAAAAGCCACCCTACAATTCAAGAATATAAATACCCTAAAAGACCAGGAACATCAGGAATAGGAGGCCAACATTATGAAACAAAGTTGATAATGCTGATATTGGTAAGAGCCTTAAACAGAACAGAACTAGATTCTTTTGCTTTAGGTACAAATGTCGAAGGTTTGGGTGCTTTTGACGACATAGTTCTGAGGTATAAGTTGAAAAATGAACAAAAACTAGAATACTTTTTCATACAAGCTAAACACAAAGATGACCCTGCCAAGAATAAAGTTACAGCAGAAAAACTACAGAAAAATGATGGAGATTTTGGTCTACCGAAGTATTACAATAGTTATTTATCTATTAAATATAAATTCAATCCGGACAGTGAAGATCCTGTATTCGCAGAATACTTTCAAGATTTAGATTGCAGCTTCATTATTTATACTCCTTCTAAGGAAGCAATTAATCACAACAAAAATGAAAATCTTTATACAAACAATAATGACTTGCTTCACACACATGCCAAAGGAAAAACTCTTCCATTGGAATCAGTTGAATTGCATGGTCTTGTCCGAACCATAAAGGAAATGCGTGTTAAACAATTAGCTGAAAAAATGTATGAATTCATTTTTTCTAAACCAGATTATTACAAAAACATACTCTCGGATGACCTGATGAAAACCTATCACGTATTTTTGGCGCAGAATATCATACTTGTTTCTGATGACGAATCCGAAGAATATTGCACTGGAATATTTAGATCCGATGATAACAATAATTTGTTATCTATTTTTAACAAAATACTTGAAGAAAATAGAATAAAAGAAAACAAAGATGCTGCATTATCATTCAAATTACCGATTGGTTTTGGTAATCTTGATTTAAAACTACGAGGAAACAAAAAGAAGCAAAATAAAAGATTAGATCATTTGTCATCAAAGTTAATTGAATTGTTCAATAATTTGAAAGATGCGGATAATATTATTAGAATTGATGACAAAATAGTTGGTGCTGAAAAACTTCTCACAAAAGGTGAATTGGATATCAACGGCGGTATCGGCGGTTTAGTTGGAAATCTTCTCATTTTGGATGAATCGACTGGATTGCTCAAATTCAATACTGACGAAGATTCTTTACCAATGTGTTCCAAGAATCTTTTCAAGAAATTACAAGCCGGCTTAACACATGAGAATTTAAACCAAGTACGATTTGAAATTGATATCAAGAATTTTCCTAAGTTGTCCTTAATCGACAACAAGCTGTTCAGACAATTTTTAAATCAAACAAAATTATATACTGATCAAGCAAATGAAGATGATGTGGAAAAAATAATTAAGCAGGAAATCAATAAATATTATCAAAAAAAACAATCGTTTTTCGATTCCAGTTTTGAAATCGATACAGTTTTTGAACACGTTCACAATAAGATACAAGAGTGGTGGAAATGCCAACATCAAACTTCGTACTTAACAGAAAATTGTAATTATTTTGATAATGTGTACAAAGAGATTCAAGATAAACCAATTTTAAACAGTTTGAGAATTATGTATATTAAGAGAATGGAACGTTTTGGCATCGAATTTCAATGCGATTCGATTACAAAACTGGCATTGTCAGAATTTGAAGATCAACTTGAGAAACGAGTGTTACATATTATCACAATGCAAAAGTTATTAACTTGCATTAAATTAGTACAAATGTATGGAAGGCGTAAAAATGTCGAATTTATTGACCTGCAGTATCTCTATTCTTCACAATCGCGTGATTACGTAAAAAAGGTGTTGGAAGCATTAGAGCAAACAGAATGGCAAATTTTAATAATTGTTTCAGACGTCACCGAAAAAAATACAAATGAACTCTGCTCAAGTTGTTTAAAATTACTAATCTCTAATAATAAAAAAAAAATAATTATAGTCTCTCAAAAGAATGACACTTTGGCTGAAAAATTCAAAGATTTTAATAAAATTGGTAGTTTTTGGGAGCAAATAGATGATCATATTAATTTGAGTAATCTGGATGAAAATTCACAAAATATAATTTTATCAAAAAGGATCTTATTTCAAGGAGAAGAAACTTGTTTGAATACCATAATAGATGATTCTTCAAAAAATCTCATACAAGGTGAAGTGTTGTCTACTCTTGTTAATGATAATACTTTAGAAATTGGAAGAACATTAGAAGATGCAAAATACACGGAATTTTATATAGACCGAACATTCGTTGTCAAAGAACAACATATTGAGCAACGCCATTTTTATGTAATATCTGATACAGAAAGATATTCAGAAAACCAACAAAGACCAGGACTAGAACAAGATATTGTACTGATAGATGGCTATGAAAGTAAATTTGAACAATTAATCGATCAATATCCTAACCATAATATTCATTGGCTGCACAAAATAAATGAAGAATATCAGTGGGCTGTATGTCTTGGCGAATCACACAAATTTCTAGAAGATTCAATTGACTTTACAATTAAGAAGTGCACATATACAAAAATAACAGATTCACCAGAAAAAGTAATTGTCATTTCCGCAGATCCGGGCATGGGAAAATCGACAGTATTGACCCATTTAGCAGTGCGAACTAAACAGCATGATCCATCCCTATGGATTTTACGAATTAATTTAATAAATTATGCAAAACAATTAAAACAAGAAATAGAAAAATTCACAGAATTGAGTGTTATTAAATTTCTATACAAAACTGCCAATTTCAAACTTTTCCAAAAGGAAGAAAAAGAGAAAGACGAACGAAATTCGAATATCGAATATATACTAAACAGTTTAATTGTAGAAAACGGAAACTTATTTCTGAAAGCATCTGAAAAAGAAATTAATGAGTTGGATTTGCTTGAAATAAAACTATTTAACAATTGCTACAACAATGGAAAAATTATTTTACTATTTGACGGATTCGATGAGATTAGTCCACACTACAAATATAAAGTTATAGAAATGTTTCTTATTTTGAAAATGAGCAAAACACAGAAATTATGGATAACTACTCGTCCTTACAACATCATCAAAACCGAGTTGGAAAACAAACTTGAAGTTTCTTCGTACTCACTAGAGCCACTATCTCGCGAACAACAAATCAATTTCTTACAAAAATTCTGGAAACAAAGTTGTAAAATTAAGGAATGGAACGATGAGCGATCAGAAATTGTAATTTCTAAAATGTTACAAGTGATAGATAATATCACTGATAGTTATGATTCGATGATGAGCATTCCACTGCAAGCACTCATGGTGGCAAATATTTTAAAGAATGATTTCGAAAATTATTACACATTAGGTAACAACAATGAATTCACATGGAGCAATCTTGATTTAGTTATGTTATATAAAAAGTTTGTCGAAATAAAATATTTTGAGATTGAAAGCGAAGAGAAACGGAATATCGACATTGCTGATCCATATCATAAGCTCAAAGAAGACAAAAACTACCGATGGGTTCTAAAAAATCATGAATTATTAGCGTTATATTCATTAATTAAAGAAGCTAAGCATAAAAAAATATTAAATCATGGAGAAAGAGAAAAAATTCAATTTTTAATGAAGAAAAATGAGCATGCTATTGAAAAATTAGGAATTATTGTTGGCAATATTGACGGAAGACCAAACTTTATCCACCGAACATACGCTGAATATTTCGTCTCTTGTTATTTTTGGAAAAAATTCAAATCTATTAGTATTCATGACTTTGAACAAAGTTTTGTAAATGATATTTTAATCGAGACCATTCTTGAAAATAGCGAAAGGCAAATAATGAGATTTTTATCATTAAAAGCAAAGAATAGCAAAAATGTTATAACCAATGTTGGCATAGAGATTAAAATTCAAATATTATCACACAAGATCAAATCACAGAAATATTATTTCGACGTTTTATTATTTGATTTTATAGCTAATTTAATGGCTAATACACAAGATGCACGTAAAATTGTAAATATGATTCTTGATCAAAATCATCAATACGAAATATTACGTGCTAGTGCAAAAATTGGGCATCAAGAACTTTCTTATGCCTTAGTGGATAAACTGGACGCAGCACACTTAACAAAAGATATCACAGAATCGATATCTACTAAAATCATAGAATCGATATCTAATCAAAGCCCCTTGTTTTTAGCAATTGATAATAAGCACCATAATATCGCACAATATATAATTCATAAAATGTTGCTTGATAAAAATTGGAGACAAACAAGGTTTAATACTATCAAGAAAAGTATAATTAAAAACAATTTAATAAACTATCTAGAATTTGGATTGAAGATGAATTTGATCGACGGTAAACCTTTCTGGAATGATTACTATGAAAGTCGTTTACCGATAATAGAATTAGTTAAAAAACCTGTGCCATCTGATATAGCTTGTCTGCTGATAGAACAGACTAATATCGAAGATTTAATTTCGGCAAAGGATAGTGATGAGGTTTTATCGTACTTGCTCGTGCACAATAAAATGATAACATTGAAATTCATTGAAAAGGGTTTTGATTTCAATATAAGTTTAAACACACTTTTAAAAAACTATTTGAGGGATCTTGAAACCAATAACCGTTATTTTTCTAATGTCTGGATGCCACAATTTAATTTCGATGATTGCCATTTTTATATCAATAAAAATGATGATTATGTCTGCGATTTATATGATAGGGTCGTACTTATTCTCAAAGGTGGTTCGGGATATAACTCTTGTATTGATGGTTTTACGACAGTTCAGAATGCTGAAAAGTTGTATTATAAAACACAAGCACTAAAAAAAATATATAATATATTGAAAAAGTATATTGATAAAGGTTGCGATATACTGGGTGTAACACTTCGAATGATAATTGAAGTTTTTATTAAATTAAAATGCCATCGATATGAGATTCAAAATTTATTTTTGTTAGCCCATAATAGCAGTCTTGGTTATTATAGAATACCGCTATTTCCTCAACATATTTTACAATGGAACAAAACGCTGAATGAGAATGTAGTTTCAATACCAATTTTAAAAAATCTCAAAAAAATACGAAGTTGGTTTATTCCTTTAAACAACAGGAATCTACAAATAATACCTGATCCAAATCTGATATATCGCGTTTCTAATTTGAAAAAAAAAATGGGACTTGAAGATGCATTAACACAAGTGTCAAAAAAATATTTAAGATTTGGAAATATAATGGCAAAATTACTTAAAACGAATGGCTCCTTTGATAATGATGAATTGTTGGATGTGCTAAATATAAAAGACATAAATATAGATGATGAATTCAAAAGTTTAATACTTGAATTCGTTGAACACAATGAATATGGTATGTTATATCGCATTTGGGCAACATTTATCGAAGAAGAAGAAAGTATGATCAATGATTCTCTAATAAAAAAAGAGCTTGTAATTTCCGATAACTATTCAGAAATTTATAAGCTATTAAAACAGCTTAACGAATTTTTTGTTGAACTAATGGATGCAATTTTAAATACAAAATACCAGGAAGTGGAACATATTCTGCAACAAATAGATACTGATTTCGTGAAGTCGGTTATCAATGGTCAAGACGTTGACTACGGTTCTCCATTACATTACGCAGCATTCAAAGGAGATACGGAAATTACTAAAATCCTTCTGAATTTTGGAGCCAATGCTAACCTTGTATTAAAATCTAATCATAAATATTTAGTTCGTGATTGCACTTTTGCTGCTAAAGGCTATACTCCACTACAAGTAGCAGCAGAAAACAACCATTATGAGATTGTTCAGATTTTGATAGACAATGGTGCCAAAGCTAAAGTACCTTGGATCGACTCAATATTACTTCTAGAGTCATGTAAAAAAGGCTATACAAATACTGTTGAGATTCTCATTAAGAACTTCGCAGATGTTGAAGCCGTCGATGAAAATAATCGAACAGCGTTACATCATGCAGCCATTAATGGCCACATAAAAATCGTGCAATTATTAATAGATAATCGAGCCAATGTTAATATATTTGATAACTTGCAATGGTCACCATCCGATCATGCTTTTTTAAATGGTCACAATGTAATTGTGCAATTTTTAAGAGATAATGGTGCATATGATAAGAGTCAGCTTTTATATGCACCCAATCAAAGTCGTATTAAAATTCTCAAGCTTTTGCTTCAAAGAGCCATTGGCTCCTTAAACAAAGAAATATCAAGTTCATTGCATTACGCAGCTAAATTAGGTGACTAGGAACTCACTGAGTTATTGTTGGAGAAAAGTAAAACTAAAGTGGATGCTGTTAACAAAAGATAAGAAACACCTCTGCACTTGGCTGCCCAAAAAGGACATTGTGAGGTTGTTCAGATTTTAATAAATGCTGGTGCCAATGTTAATACAAATATCCACAAAAGAACTGCACTACACTGGGCGGCACAAAATGGCCACAAGGAAACAGTTGAATGTTTAATAAAAAACAAAGCTATAAACAATGTTTTTAACCCATATAATTTAACACCATTTCAACTGGCAAATATCAATAATCACAAAGAAGTAGTTGAAGTTTTATTAAAGAATGGCGCAAAAGACAGTGAGTAGAAACCTTGCTGGTAATGTCATTAGTTTCCTTTTAAATGTTTCTAATGTTTATTAAAATTATCAATGCCTATTAAATTTATTTTTATATCTATAAAGCTGGGTCGATAGAAATAATAATTATCAGAATTAAAATATAAAACTAATTTATAAAAAATATAAAGAATAATTTTAAAATAAACATAAGACATTTTTCAATGCAATTTGAACTAATAATCATAACGTTGTTACTCAAACTCATATTGATAGGATCTCATATTCGCATATTTTCTTTTACTCATTGAATAATGCATAAACTGTATCATATACCTACTTTTTAAAAACTAAATCTAAATCTCCTGTCGGTTTAGCCTTTTCCATCTCCTGTTTAAGCTCCTCCGTATTCAGCAAAGATGTAAAACAAGTCTTTAGCTCATCTTTGGCGGCCTAAAGATAAAATTATAAAATGATAAAATAATCGACAAATCCAATTGAAGATAAAACTAGTTGTGTATGGCATCGTGCCTTAAGCAAATTGCTGAAACTTCCCGTATCGTAAGAAAATGTTCGAAGAATAAATGCTTATAAAGAGAGCATTATAAATACTGTAACATTGTCTAATATTTATAAAAATTATATAAACTTAATTACAAAGTTAAAATTATTTATTTAAAGTATATAAGTGAGCTTTAGACAAAACCAGCGGGCACACAAAACACACACACACACACACCCATTTTTTCTAAGGTATGCCAAAATGTTCAGAAACCTCTGAAACGTGAAGATATAAAAAAAATTCATTCTCGATTTTCGGCCCATTACTATAACTTACCCTAGGGGAAGTTTAAAAATGTATACTTACAAAAGCTTTATTGTAAGCATCGTCGCTTCCACTTTCCTTTCTGCATTTTTCTCTGGCCAGTTTTTCCGCTTCCTCTGTCGAAGGAAGTGCTGAAATGTTCAATTTTCCGACCAGATCTTCTGGTAATTTGTCAACAACCTCCTGCAGATTAATCTCGTCTTCTGCTTGTACACAAAGCACTCCACCTGATAATGGTAATATAATTAGAAACAGTTCATTTCACTTATATAATATAAATATATAATAATATTAATAAATTTATGAATAATAAAATTCCGCTGAAGCCAATAAGAAAATCTAAGATGGCCATTTAACTAGGTTGCCTTTAGAAAGTTCATTTTAATACTTGACTTCTAGTTTAAATCGATTTAATCATTTACCATTGCTTGCTGTGTCAAATTTAATATGAATAATTTTCATATTTTTTCCTCATTATCGTATGGATTGCTGAATTGCTGATTTGACACAGTCAAACGGTCACCAAGGCCGATGCACTCATTCTATTAAAATAATATCATAAAACATTACGAATCATCCTCCTCACATAAGACACGTGCCTTCATTATCATTTATTCTGTTTAATAAATAATTATTTAATGATGATATTAAATATACACAAATCGTCTTCAAGATATTTTCTGTTACATTCGCCCTTGAAAAATAGCATTTAAAAATCTGTTTTTTTAGTAAAGATCTTTTGAAGTCATAGGAAAGTGGTTTGATTATAAAAATTCATTAAAGATGGAAATGGGCCGTGCCAAAATTTCAAAATTCGATCACCATGAAAGTTGCAAAATTTTAATACTTTTTGAATAAGTCGATTATTTACACATATCAGAAAAATTTTGTAATTTTCCTTAAGGAAAATGCCACTTACACCTAGTTCTCAAAAAATCTTGAATTTTAAATATCTCAAATTGCTTATGAAATATAATTTTAATTTTTGACAAAATTGTTATGTCTGTCTACAATAAAATAATAAAAATAATTAAAATTTAATAATTATTATATTAAGATTATTTTTGTTATATAAATATATATATTAATATAAATAGAGATATAGTTAGTTTTTATTACATTATATTGAGCCGAGATAAACATAATTGTTTGGCTTTTTTTTAGTCTAGGAGGCATCATGTCCTCATCTTTAGTTTTTTTTTTTTGAAATTTCTAGTTGTGTTGATTTTTCTTATTAAAGTTTTAAACAGAATTTTTTGACTGATAATGACACACGTTAATAAATAATATTTTCTTTTAACTCGACGTCAAAAAAACTATATTATATATATATATATATTATATATATATATTATATATAAATGAATATAAATACATATATATATATATATATATATATATATATATATACATATATATATATACTCTCATTTCATCCTATTTGTATTGATGTAACGCCTGACTTTTCAAATAAAATATATTGTATCAACATCAAATTCAAATCTATTCAAACATATATATATATATATATATATATATATATATATATATATATATATTGTATAATTATATTATATTATATTCTATTATATTATATCATGTTATATTATATCATATTATATATAATAAATATTTATCCTGTATAAAATATTCATGTATAATGCTGCACTAATTGTTTACCTAAAACTAAAAATAAATGTATAATGTGACTCCTGTATCTAACAAGAAATTGTTTATGTAAAATGAATAATATAGAATTTAAATATATTTGCATATTTCTACAAAATTGTTTCAAACACAATTTTACAGCAAACTCTGGCCATGATTCTCAGATGACGTACAAAGCAAAAACTTATTTATTGTTAAAAACTAATCAGCAAGAAATAAATAAATAGTTTTTTTTTATAACTGCCATCAGTCGCGGTGTCTAGATTTGAAATATAAAAAAACTAGACCTTAGACATTGAATTGAAGAATCAATAAATATGCATTTCATCGCATAAATTTACATAATCAAACTGCTGATTAGAAAATAATAAAATATTGAAATTTAATTAGCGACATTTTTAATAATACTTTTGACATAACCTTAAAATGATTTCATATTAAACATTTACTTTAAAATTTATTGGTAACAAAAATTATTAAAAATTTTGTAATATATACATAAGATTATGCATACCATAAAATAAATAATACTTCATGTTTCAATTGGTGTTTTAATACAATTTTTACTATTTTAAAAAACTTGGACGTTATCGTTTTGTAGTTAACTGTCAGTTTTGTTGTGAATATTATACTAATTTTGCTAATAAGTGTAATTAAACTGATTGTAACTTAATATGCAATCTATATAAATAGTAAAAGTTATAAATATACTTACATTACGCGTTCCAAATTATATACATCTATCTAATTTCAAAAACAATCTAGAAAATTCGCCATTAAGCCTCCATTACAACATGATTAGATCTAACGTATTATACATAACCTTTACTTAAAAATTATTATTAATAAAATACTAAAAAATATTGAATTTTCGAACAAAATGCAATTTAAGTAAATAGTTATGATGCATTTAACCGATAATTCAATTTATAATTAGTGTTTTAAAACAATTTTTGTTATTTAAAAAACATGGACGTTATCGTTTTGTAGTAAACTATCAGTTTCATTGTAAATATTACTAATGCTGCTAATAAGTGTAATTGAAATTATTGTTACAACTAAATATGCAACTTGTATAAATAATAACAGTTTTATATGTACTTACATTAAGTACAACATGTATATTATCACTAAAAGAAAATACACGATTCGCCATTATGCAAATGGAAAACACAACCACCTTATTGCAAGTGACGTCACGACCACAGCTACCAACAAACACGTTTGAAAATTTAAAAAAAAAATGTGTTAAAAAAAGAAAATTTATGTGGAAAAATTATTTATTTCAACTAAGAAATTGACTCTCCTTTAGCACAAGGTTTGTATTTTTATATAAAATAAATAGTTATTACACAAATATTATAATAAAGTATGTACATCAATTTGAATTTATTATAATGGCGTGAAGTCGTCAAACATTCCGGTGTGGTATAAAAGTACAAAACCTAATTTTAAAATAATCAATAGAATAATAAATTAATACACCAATCTCTCTGATGTGGAATTGTGTAAACACAATTTCCAATTATATTAATTATAATAACTAATATCAAAGCTTCCAATAACTATCTGCAAGACTAAATGACAGTTGCCGCCATTTTGAAAAAAATGACAGTTGCATTTAAAAAAAATAATAAATGTTTAAATAATTATATTCAATTTATTATAATTAAAGAAAATATTATATTAACAAAAAACTCAAACTTCTGTTCCTTAGCCTATATAACTTTTTTACTAATATTCTCAAAATTTATATATTCATTACTTTATCATTTATTATTTCATTATTCTTCAAAATGCTGACAGGTCTTTAAAAAGGTTTAAAGGACTTTTATGACCTATAGAATAAAATCTTTGAAAACAAAGATTCATATACAAAACATTATATTGTGTGAATATATTAATCAGAATAAAAATAGAAATAAAGTACAAAGTCTAATCAAGCTCGCGATAATAAAATCCACTGAATCATACAATGGTACTGAATCACAAAACAAACAATAAGTATAGATGATATGTATATACTCAAACAATTTGATTATTCACAGGAAACCTGATATTTTTTTATATATAATCTTATTTGTATTTTTTATAATCGCTATTTTTCACACTCTATTGTTACATATTTTAGTTGTTAAATTGAATTTTTGGGTTACTCAATGAAGGCTAGAATTATAACCGAAACGTATGGAACTTCATGATTTTATTCTCTGACAATACATAATGTCGTTTAATGTCAGCTTCTATTAAAAAAGAATTCGATCCAAACAAATTAAAAGTGATTGTATAATTTGATTTGATCGCTTAATAAAATTAAACTAAAGGTCACCTACTTGACTTGCATAATATTTGATTACAATTTATGACAATGTAATAACTGATATATATATATATATATATATATATATATATATATACTAGATGACCCGACAGACGTTGTACTGTACCCACGTCTACAAATCAAAAGTTCCAAATTTTTTAATATCCTATCCTCTACTTTTTAATATCCTATTTGATGTCCTGCCTTTGTGATTCATTCATGGTCTTAGCATAAGCAGTATAAAAAATTCAGAAAAAAATAATATAGTAAATTCAGTAAAAGAACTTGATTGAGAACACTTGATTTTACCACACAATTTAATTGCTTCGATAATTTAGCCTATAATTTTCATAATCTCGTACGATATATAAGTTGCTTTTTGGCAATTATAATTTCTAAAGTACATTTTTCTTACTAATAATTTATTTAAAAGTTTATTCTTTATGTTCAAATCTTAGATGAAATAATTTGTAAAATCTAGTTCAAAGTCTCCACCTCAGAAAATCCAAACATAGAAATCTTCAACCCCAAAAAAATCTCTATTGAAATTTATAAACCAATTCATCTATGTTTGGTTATCATTTTATTTTATCTATGTATTATTATTTGAATATATGAAAATTTTTAATGAATTATTGACAAAATGTTTTTATGTTAATATAGGGCCATAAGCATATAAATTAAACGTGAACTATCTTTATATACATTTTTGGTTATAAGTTTGTTCGAAAGATTACAATTAAAAATCGCATTGATTATAGTGAAAGCAAAAAGTACCTAATTAGCTAAATCTGCTTTACTATTAAATCGATTATAAACTTTACATTAAAACGTTAAATTTACATTCAATAATTTCTAATTACTCAGAGAGATAAAATCCTTTCTGTTTACATTATTTAAAGTCTTTGTAAACAGGTGACTGATAAATGCAAATATTCACATTCATTGTTCATTAATGTGCAAATATAATTTAATGACTTATAAAAAATTAATTTGCGTCAAACGAGCTATAAAATTATATGGGGAGTCATTTAATTTTATTAACATGACTTAATAAACCGAAATTGTTTCGAATGAAAATGGAAATAAAAATAATCATATATATAGATATATATATATATATATATATATTATATATATATATAATATATATTAAAGTAATTATATGCTTTAGAACAATTTACAAACTTGCACAAAGTTTATTTCATTATAAATAAGAAAGTTTGAAGACCAAGAGATCTTAAATTTCATTCAATTTTTTTAATATAATTTTGTCCCAAACGACTCGAATTGTTATACACAGATTTATAGATAAAAATATCTACTTTTTAATGATATTTAATAAAATATATGTTTGAAACAATTATTTAAGAAATCAATCGTTATATAAGAAAATGTAACCAGGCAACTCAACATCTGGCTCTGTATTCAATTTTAAAATTTAATCAATATTTTAAATTTAATTTTGTTCCAAACGATTTAAATCGCTGTACACAGATTTATAGATAATTTCATTTACTTTTTAAAGATATATAATCATATATCTACATCAGATATATACATTTTGAATACATTTATTTAATAATAATCAAAATATTAAAAAAATGTAACCAGACAACTTGACATCTTAATTTAAACAAATGGCCCTACATTCAATTTCAAAATTTAAACTTTTTTTAAATTAATTTTGTTCTAAACTATTTAAATGGTTATACACGGATTTATAGATAATTTATATGCAGGTTTGAATAATTTTTCTAAACATTGATCAAAATATAAAAAAATACAATCAGAAATATATATATATATATATATATATATATATATATATATGTTTTATTTTAAAATATTGCCATAGCAATGCATATATATTTCTTTAAATATATTTTTTATTACAATTATTATTTTCAATGAATTAATTATGCAAGCAAACAAGAACAAACGATATATTTATACATTATAATTGTATACATTTTTAATCGAATACAGTTAATCGAAGCATGAACAAAAATCTGTATAAAGTTCTTATATGATTCTGTATTTCAAACCTGTTTTTCCTTTTAAGTTTTTTTTTAAGGTTATGACACAAAGCAAAATATTTTATTAACACTAGAAAGACGGACGAATTGAGTATACCTACATTGCCTGAAAACAGTCAAAATGACTGCGTCGTGAAAAAAATAAATAATGCGTTTAGAAATTTGTTTAAAGTTAATTTTTATTATTTCATGTACTATTTACATTTATACAAATTATCTATAAGTGCTAAAAATAAAAAAATAGTTCATCTGAAATAGAAGTTTATTATTTTTACAATTTATGCAAATATAATTTAAGATCTTTTTATGAATACATTTTCCGCAAACATGTTTGTTGCAACTTTGACACGTATTATTAGTTTTATTATTATTGCAAAGTCTTATTTGGCAAAATTTTCTTTTATTACTATTGGTATTTGCATGATGTCTGTGGGTCATCATTTTCCTTTGATTTTTTTTGTGTTGATGTCGTGTAGTTTGCGGAAAGCTGTTCTGCCAATTCAAACAAAAACTGTTATCTAAGAATTTGTTTTCTTTGGATTTTTATTCCTGTCGCTTCCTTGTAAAGAATCCAGGCATTTATCGCAGCCAAATCCAAAATATTGAAAAATATTTGCAGGGATCATCTACTGGATTGGAACTGGATTTTACGGTATATTTTCTTGTCCTTTGATCTGCCATGTCTTCTTTGCTGACCATAAATAAGTCAATATCAATTTTCTTGCCTCATAGGTCCCACGAGCATATAAAATTCCAATAAATACACGTATTTCCGGTAATGATGTTGTCCAATCGTACTCCAAAATTCGACTGCCCTCTTCTTCTGTGCACTGTTTTATGTGTTTGATAATATAATTATCTATTATCAACGAAAATGCACTGACAAGATCACCTGTAATAATATTCTTTTTTGCATAGCTTGTTGGCCCTTTCACACCCTTGAAAACACAATTAGATGATGACCTTCCTGGAGTACAACCTTCGGCAATTTTTGTCCATACAGTACCATCTACAGCTGTTTCCGTTTCTTGAATTCTTTCATCAGTTTCTGAGCCACTTAGCACCCTCCTGCATACACTGATGGCACTTTCATTTTCATCAATAGTGATCACCTTCATCGCTACCCTCAGAATCAGATGATTCTCGTGGAATATAATCTAATTCATCTTCAGATGATTGTGCCCAATTTTCTGCATTTTATTCTATGTCGGAACACTCTTCACTTATGTGTGTTAGCTTTTTCAACAATTCACTTCTCTTCGACATTTTATTTATAAGTTCTAAAAAATCAACTGAACAACGCGTTATACTGAAAATTACTACGTGAAAAAGACCGGTCTAATGTCAATACTTACCATAATTCGGTTATTTCTATGTAATAAATGCATTATCGCTCATTCGAGATGAATTAACGCGAGATAACGATTTGCAATACAATAACAAAGCCGTTTGTTTATGTAAAATTTCTATAGCAGTCAAAATGACTGTTTTCCGTCCATGTAGGCATAACATGTAAGAATATTGAAAATAAAAGTGTGATAAGGCAAATAATACGATTTATCTACGCATTTATATGTTGTATAAAAAGTCATAAAATTTCACGAAGCTGCGACTTCAAATACATAGTTATTTTTATGTTTGAAAATGGAAAACAGTCAAAATGACTGCGTCCGTCTTTCTAGTGTTAAATAATAAAAGTACTACTTACCAAAAACCGACAACAGACAAATAGCCAGGATTAATTTCACCATTTTTTATTTAGTAAATGCACAATTTTGTTTAACAAATGAATGAAAAACCGTATAAAATTTTCGTTGATTAATGAGACGAATGGTAATAATTAATGTTGTTAATTGTATATTAATATTTTTAACACTATGCTAATTAAATTTAAATCATTCTTTGTTCGAATGCTATTTATTACTAAATAATATAACTAAAGTTTTGTATCTAAATCACAGCCGACGAATACGAAGCGGTTTTGACGTACGAATACGAAGACGAGTACCAACACATGCAAACAAGAAACTTGTATGCAGATGTTGGCAACCTGCTGAAGAGGATTCAAATTTGAAAATTGATAAATCTATTTTAATTAAAAAATATAATATTATTACATTATTAATATATTTTTAACCATTTTAGTTTTTATGATAATCAAAAGCAATTATATATGAAATTTTTTATGAGCGTTGTTTGATAATATCAATTTTTCAACATAGTGAAGTTACAAGTTGTTTCATTTTCAAATTCATTTTTTAATTTTGAGACGAAATGCTACTTACACCTAGTTTGAATCACAATATATCACAAATCAAATAAATCATGTATAAAATCTTCATTATATATTGCTTCCATATTTCTAAAATAAATTATTTCAAGAACAAAATTATCTCAAAAACTATTCGAAAATGTAGACAGCAATTGTTAATGCCTTTTGATGTATTAAAAAGATATATAAATAAAGTATCAATAATTTTAGCTAATTACATGCAAATGCAATGTAATTAACTTTCGTTCAGTCATAGTTCAATAAATGAACTGAATAAATAATTTTATTGCTAATGTATCTTATATTTAAAATTCTTCTGTAATGATGTATGTAAATATACTCTTCCTAAACAAGTATTCGAATTTTGATAAATCATTCTGAAGTTTGTTAAGGGAATATAAGTGATTATAAAAATATAGTAATATTGTAGAAATAAATAGACAAAATTGCAAAAAACAACATATCATAATTTGAGATTGAAAACATTTTGATAATGAGAACTGCATTTCCCAAAATTGTCGATTCACCTGAAATTTGAATTTAGTTTAAGCGAGTCTAAACAATATTAGTATATAATGTCCATAATCCAGGGTACGCAATTATAAAAATTATAGACTATTATATGTTATATAAATTATTGAAGCAATTATATTGGTTGTAAATTACAAAGACGAGTGTTCTTTTACTGTATTTATTTATTTTTTGAATTTCTTATACTGAACAAAAAACTGCATTTCCAATATGTATATAGCTTATGCTAAGACCATAAATGAAAGGACATTAAATGGAATATTAAAAAGTATAAGGTAGGATATTAAAATATTTGTAACTTAAATTGTAAGTGTGGAACAAGACAACGTCTGTCGGGTCATCTAGTATTATATAAATAAATACCATGTTATAACTTTTCAAAACGTGAATAAAATCTTTATTAAAAACACACAATATACATACACATTAAAAATTTGTTCTATATACACTCCAATATTATGAAACAATTGTTTGATTAATTTTTTGGCTAAATGTCGCTTTGCATCACACGTGTTTATTCATTGGCAACTAAATTCGCTTATTGATACAAAACAGGCACTCTTGGCAATAAGACGATTTGTGTCTAATATTCAAGTCTCTTGAAAACTAATTATTGTGTTACCTATCGAGTCTGCGCTGCAACAATGGGCCATTGCAACTTCTGAATCAGACGGTGTAAAAACCTGAAATTAATTTGATATATAAACTAAACTGATGAAACATAATTATGTAAAATTTAATATATCTTACCCTGTCTACTACTGTACGTATTTGATAGCTATCAACATATAATGCTAATTTGTCTAGTATTACGTTTGCTGGTAACGTTTGTCTTCCAAAAATATGCTAAAAATTAAAATCATTTTTATAAATTCAAATTGCATGATGTTTCGTATAATGTCTACCGCCTACCTCAATAATTCGTTTAGCATAAAAACCAAAAGAATATATTGTCCTCAATATTAAACCAAAGCTATCGCTCAACAATTCAGGCTCAATAGTATTAATAATACATCCATCCTTATTTATGAAATTCAACCACTGCGTATGCTTCATATTTGATTCCACCGTTAAAAATATCGTATCAAATGGATCATTCAGTTGTAATTCCTTTAACAATAAATCAGTGCTATTCTGAAGTTCATCTTCTGCCATACTACTGTCTAAATTTTCAGGAATTAATGTTATGACATCATGAGCCCCTGAGAGTTGAAATATTTGTTTAAATAATAGGTTATATTTAATTATAGATATAAATATTTATACCTAAGGCTTTGGCAACTTTTATACCAATCGGTGCACAAGATACTGTAATGTGAGCTCCCCAGGATTGCAGTAATTGTCCAAGGATGCATCCAACTGGAGAATTTCCACCCAGTATGAATATTCTAAATGAAATAAAATTATATTAAAATAATAATGAACAAAATACAATGTCAATTTTAATATTAGATTTAAAAAAATCTCTATTAGTACAATTGAAGTATGTAAAATATAAAAGAAAAATATTAAAGTATGTAAAGAATTTAGAAAAAGTTATTATTATTGCTAACCTTTTATTTTTAGCAGTGGCTTCATTTAAATTAGCACCTTCGAGTGCTTTCATCGCAATAAAACCACCATAAGGAAGACTTGCAGCAGCTGTAATAATTTAAACATAGATTTATTATTAATTTAAAATGAATTAAAAAAAACATTATAAAGTAAATAGTCATAGTTAAAAATTTCTCAGTTTTATGTGCCTGAAATAGTGTGAATAAAAAAATAAGTTTAATAAACTTGTTTGTTAAATGGCAAAAAGAGTGGCATTTCATGGCAAAAAAGACGAATCGTTTGCAAGAATTTTTGAGAAAGTTAAAGAAAAATAATTATGATGAGTAAATATTTGTTTAAATTCTATTATTAACTTCCAGTAGATAGAACAACTTTATCGGCAACGAAAGCTTTTCATAATCTAATCAAATTTAATCAATTATCTACTTTGGCAAGATAAGACAAATTTGCAGTAAACGACAGGTAATCGCAGATCGAATTCTCTAGAAATAATCAGTTTAAAGTTTGCTGTCCGTTATTATGGAGCAAGTGAAAATGGATCATGACTCAAAATCAAGTGAAAATTTCTTTAGTGATAGCGATGAAGAACGTGATAAAAAATTCGAACTATTTTCAGCCATAAGAATCGGAAAATTAGATGTGGTACAGAATTTACTGACCGCTGGTGTAAAAACCGACATAGTTGACAAGAATAATAAAGACAATACGCCTTTGCACTATGCTACGGAAAAAAATAAAAAAGATTTGGTGGAGGAACTTTTGCACTCAAAATGGAAAACAGATATAAATGCTAGGAATAAAAGGGGCGATACTCCATTGCACATCGCAGTTTCGAAAGGATTTGAAGACATTGTGCAAATATTGTTAAACCACAATGCAAAAGTTGATGTTTCCAATAACAGCGGTAGAACACCTCGAGATATTGCCAAAATTATTAATAATGAAAAAATTGCGCAAATGTTGTGCCCAGTATTAGCTACAAGTGAAAATCAATCAGAACATATGGTAGGAATTGACGAAGAAGCGAGCACTTCATTCGCAAAGGAACCAAGTAAGTGAACTTTTGTAGTTAACCCGTTTGCATCATAAAGAAGCCTAGAAAACTAGTAGTGCGTTTTAAAATTCTCGAATTTTTTTTTTCAAAGTAATAAAAAAAATTGAACCTTTTTTAAAATTTTTATTTTTTGAAATTTCAGCAATTTGCCTTAAGGCACAAGGCCAAGCCCCACTAGTTTACTTTTTTGTTGGATCTCCAAAACCGCTCTTCAGTTTATCAGTTCTTTATTTCATCAACCCAAATAAAATGTTTTTAGAATCATTCTCAAGAACTGAATTACCAATTTTGGCACTTTCTGCACCGTATCTTCGAAAAGGCTGGACTTGCCTTTGCCAAAAACTAATCACTACGTCTCATCATTACGAATTGAATTTTTGCATATGTTTGCGTATTGAAGGCTTCTGAACATTTTGGCATACCTCATAAAACCGGATATGTGTGTATGTGTGTGTGAGTGTGTATGTATGCATGGATATAATTTTTCGTTCACGTTTTCGAGCGCACGGATCAACCGATTTGAATGGTTCAAAAAGCAGGAAGGAGTGGTGTTAAGTTTTTGGCAAATGCAGGTCCAACCGTTTTGGAGATATGAAGCAAAATGTGCAAAAAATGGTAGTTTGTGAAAGACTATCGGATTGTAAGCCCTGAAGTTTTTGTTTTATATTATTTTATATTATTATTTATTTATGTTTGAAATTATATTAGTTTAAATACATATCATTTATAAAAAAAAATGTTTTATTTTATTTTATCAATATGCAATGCATTGCAATTTGCATCTCGACACATTGATGCAAAGCGCAACGCGCGTAGACATAGCGCTTAGCGCGTTTTTAGCAGTTTTATTCAATTTTTATTTAATTTTTTTATTTAAACCGCTTCCCATAGGACTCTAATATTTAAAGGTGTTCGGTTTGACCATCAACCCTACAACCATGCGAAGTTTCATTAAAATCCCAGAAGAGTAAACCTGATGGTTACCTTGTAAGGTAAGTTCAAAATTTTCAGAAATGTAAAGATTAGCAAAAATATTTATTTTCGATTTTTGAACAATTATAATAACTTAATTATTATTTATAATTATTATAAAATAATTAAAAGTTTAATTTTGATCGACTGTGTCGTTATTTACACATATCGGAAGGCACATCGAATTTTCCTCAATTGCCCTGCATCTAGTGTTATTTAAAATTAATGATCTTTGATGTTTGATGTTTGATGTTTTAGGTTATTAAAAATAACACAAAAAAATATTACTTGATCTTTTTAGGAGGACAAACTCTTGAAACCCAAACAAAAAGTCTCCCTGCAATTCAAGAATATAAATATCCTAAAAGACCAGGAACATCAGGAATAGGAGGCCAACATTATGAAACAAAATTGATAATGCTGATATTGGTAAGAGCCTTAAACAGGACAGAACTAGATTCTTTTGCTTCAGGTACAAATGTCGAAGGTTTAGGTGCTTTTGACGACATAGTTCTGAGGTATAAGTTGAAAGATGAACAAAAACTAAAATACTTTTTCATACAAGCTAAACACAAAGATGACGCTGCCAAGAATAAAGTTACAGCAGAAAAACTACAGAAAAATGATGGAGATTTTGGTCTACCGAAATATTACGATAGTTATTTATCTATTAAATATAAATTCAATCCGGACAGTGAAGATCCTCTATTCGCAGAATACTTTCAAGATTTAGGTTGCAACTTCATTATTTATACTCCTTCTAAAGAAGCAATTAATCAGAACAAAAATGAAAATCTTTATACAAATAATGATGACTTGCTTCACACAAATGCCAAAGGAAAAACGCTTTCGTTGGAATCTGTTGAAGTGCATGGTCTTGTCCAAACCATAAAGGAAATGCGTGTTAAACAATTAGCTAAAAAAATGTATGAATTTATTTTTTCTAAACCAGATAATTACAAAAACATACTCTCGGATGACCTGATGAAAACCTATCACGTATTTTTGGCGCAGAATATCATACTTGTTTCTGATGACGAATCCGAAGAATATTGCACTGGAATATTTAGATCCGATGATAACAATAATTTGTTATCTATTTTTAACAAAATACTTGAGGAAAATAGAATAAAAGAAAACAAAGATGCTGCATTATCATTCAAATTACCGATAGGTTTTGGTAATCTTGATTTAAAACTACGAGGAAACAAAAAGCAGCAAAATAGAAGATTAGATCATTTGTCATCAAAGTTAATTGAATTGTTAAAAAATTTGAAAGATGCGGATAATATTATTAGAATTGATGACAAAATAGTTGGTGCTGAAAAACTTCTCACAAAAGGTGAATTGGATATCAATGGCGGTATCGGTGGTTTAATTGGAAATCTTCTCATTTTGGATGACTCGACCGGATTGCTCAAATTTAATACTGAGGAAGATTCTTTACCAATGTGTTCCAAGAATCTTTTCAAGAAATTACAAGCCGGCTTAATACATGAGAATTTAAATCAAGTACGATTTGAAATTGATATCAAGGATTTTCCTAAGTTGTCCTTAATCGACAACAAGCTGTTCAGACAATTTTTAAATCAAACAAAATTATATACTGATCAAGCAAATGAAGATGATGTGGAAAAAATAATTAAGCAGGAAATCAATAAATATTATCAAAAAAACCAATCGTTTTTCGATTCCAGTTTTGAAATCGATACAGTTTTTGAACACGTTCACAATAAGATACAAGAGTGGTGGAAATGCCAACATCAAACTTCGTACTTAACAGAAAATTGTAATTATTTTAATAATGTGTACAAAGAGATTCAAGATAAACCAATTTTAAACAGTCTGAGAATTATGTATATTAAGAGTATCGAACGTTATGGCATCGAATTTCAATGCGATTCGATTACAAAACTGGCATTGTCAGAATTTGAAGATCAACTTGAGAAACGAGTTTTAAATATTATCACAAAGCAAAAGTTATTAACTTGCATTAAATTAGTACAAAAGTATAAATCGTGTGAAAATGTCGAATTTATTGACCTCCAGTATATCTATTCACAATCGCGCGATTATGTTAAAACAATTTTGAATGCATTAAGTCAAAAAACGCAATGGCAAATTTTGATAATCATTTCAGACGTCGCCGAAGAAAATGTAAGTAAACTCTACCCAAGTTTTGAAAAATTACTAAATTCTGATAATAAGAAAAAACTAATTTTAGTCTCTCAAAAAAATGACATTCTGGCTGAAAAATTTAAAGACTATTTTGATAAAATTGGTAGTTTTTGGGAGCAAATAGATGATCGTATTAATTTGGGTAATCTTGATGAAAATTCACAAAATATAATTTTGTCAAAAAAGATCATATTTCAAGGAGAAGAAACTTGTTTGAATACCGTAATAGATGATTCTTCTAAAAGTCTTATACAAGGTGAAGTGTTGTCTACTCTTGTTAATGATAATACTTTAGAAATTGGAAAAACATTAGTAGATGCAAAATACACGGAATTTTATATAGACCGAACATTAGTTGGCGGAGAACAATTTATTGGCAAATTCATAAATGAATATCGGTGGAATAATAACCCACACTACGGATGGTGTCCCATTACAACTTTAAAAAAAATAACAGATTCACCAGCAAAAGTATTTATCATTTCCGCCGATCCAGGTATGGGCAAATCAACGACATTGACACATTTAGCAGTGCAGACTAAACAACATGATCCATCCTTATGGATTTTACGAATTAATTTAATAAATTATGCAACCGAATTACTACAGGAAGTAGAAAAGAGTAACAAATTCACAGAATTAGATGTTGTTAAATTTTTATATAAAACTGCCAGTTTCAAACTTTTCCAAAAAGAAGAAAAAGAGAAAGACGAACGAAATTCGAATATCGAATATATACTAAACAATTTGATTGTAGAAAACGGAAACTTATTTCTGAAAGCATCTGAAAAAGAAATTAATGAGTCGGACTTGTTAGAAATAAATTTATTCAATCATTCCTACAATAACGAAAAAATGATTTTACTATTTGACGGATTCGATGAGATTAGTCCACACTACAAAGATAAAGTTATAGAGATGTTTCTTATTTTGAAAATGAGCAAAATACAGAAACTATGGATAACCACCCGTCCTTACAACATAATCAAAATCGAGTTGGAAAACAAACTTGAAACTTCTTCGTACTCACTAGAGCCACTATCTCCTGAACAACAAAACAATTTCTTACAAAAATTTTGGAAACGAAGTTGCATAATTAAGGAATGGAATGTTATACAATCGAAAGGTCTCATTTATAAATTATTAAGTATCATAGGTGTAACCATTGATTATAATTCACTTATAAGTATTCCACTGCAAGCACTCATGGTGGCAAACGTCTTAAAGTATAATTTCAAAGATTTTTACGAATCTGGCAACCAAACTCTTTCGATTGATCAGACTCGCCAGATGAGCGATGAGCTGGATCTTGTGAATTTATATAAGAAGTTTGTTGAGATAAAATATTTTGAAATTGAAAGCAAAGAAAAGCGTAACATTGACATTGCCGATCCGTATATTAAGCTCAAAGATGACAAAAACTACCACCAAATTTTAAAAAATCACGAAACATTAGCGTTGATTTCATTGTATGAAGAAGCCGAGCTTGTAAAAATATTAGATCAAAAAGAATGGCAACACGTTCGAATTTTAATGGAGGAAAATGAGCAGGCTATTGAAAAATTAGGAATTATTGTTGGCAATATTGACGGAAGACCAAACTTTATCCACCGAACGTACGCTGAATATTTCGTCTCTTGTTATTTTTGGAAAAAATTCAAATCTATTAGTATTGATGACTTTGAACAAAGTTTTGTAAATGATATTTTAATCGAGACCATTCTTGAAAATAGCGAAAGGCAAATAATGAGATTTTTATCATTAAAAGCAAAGAATAGCAAAAATGTTATAACCAACGTTGGCATAGAGATTAAAATTCAAATATTATCACACAAGATCAAATCACAGAAATATTATTTCGACGTTTTATTATTTGATTTTATAGCTAATTTAATGGCTAATACACAAGATGCACGTAAAATTGTAAATATGATTCTTGATCAAAATCATCAATACGAAATATTACGTGCTAGTGCAAAAATTGGGCATCAAGAACTTTCTTATGCCTTAGTGGATAAACTAGACGCAGCACACTTAACAAAAGATATCACAGAATCGATATCTACTAAAATCATAGAATCGATATCTAATCAAAGCCCCTTGTTTTTAGCAATTGATAATAAGCACCATAATATCGCACAATATATAATTCATAAAATGTTGCTTGATAAAAATTGGAGACAAACAAGGTTTAATACAATCAAGAAAAATATAATTGAAAGCAATTCAATGAACTATCTAGAATTTGGTTTGAAGATGAATTTGATTGACGGTAAACCTTTCTGGAATGATTACTATGAAAGTCGTTTACCGATAATAGAATTAGTTAAAAAACCTGTGCCATCTGATATAGCTTGTCTGCTGATAGAACAGACTAATATCGAAGATTTAATTTTGGCAAAGGATAGTGATGAGCTTTTATCGTACTTGCTCGTGCACAATAAAATGATAACATTGAAATTCATTGAAAAGGGTTTTGATTTCAATATAAGTTTAAACACACTTTTAAAAAACTATTTGAGGGATCTTGAAACCAATAACCGTTATTTTTCTAATAATGTCTGGATACCGCAATTTGTTTTCTATAATCGCCCTTTTTTTAGGTATCACGGAAAAGATCATGTTTGCGATTTATATGATAGGGTTGAACTCATTCTTAAAGGTTGTTCGGGATATAACTCTTGTATTGTTGGTTTTACGACCATTCAAAATGCTGAGAAGTTGTGTTATAAAACACAAGCACTAAAAAAAACATATAATATGCTGAAAAAGTATATGGATAAAGGTTGCGATCCACTGGGTATAACACTTCGAATGATCATTGAAGTTTTTACTAAATTAAACTGCTACCAATATAAAATTGAGAATTCACATTTGATTACCAATAAAAACCAATTTTTTTGTGAGTCTATACCTCTTTTACCTGAATATTTACGCCCGTACACGTATAAAAAAAATCCCGAAAATGCTTTAATGGAAATACAAGTATATCTAGATGACATACTAGAAATTAATTATAATATTTTTGATATCTATGATAGAGAACCACATTTAACATCCAATCCGCTGGTATTACGTATTAAACGTCTAATCATGGAAGATGGCTTTAAACAGGAAGATGCTTTCAAACAAGTGTCAAAAGAATGTTTGAGATTTATTGATATAATGAGGAAACTAAATGGTACCAATCGTGTATTTGATCATAATCAATTGTTGGATGTGCTAAATTTAAAAGATATAAATATAGATGTTGAATTTAAAGATTTAATACTTGAAATCGTTAAACCCAGTGACTTTTACATATTAGTTCGCTTATGGTTAAAAATGTTAGAAAGAGGAAAAAATGTAAATGATGATGCAGTAATAAAATCATTGTTGGCATTTTCCGATGACTGTTCACAAGTTTATAAGCTATTGAAACAGCTTGACGAATACTTTGTTAAGCTAATGAATGCAATTTCAAACACAAAACACGAGAAAGTGGAACATATTCTACAGCAAATAGATGTTGATTTTTTGAAGGCAGTTGTGAATGGTCAAGATGTTGACTACGGTTCTCCATTACATTATACAGCATTCAAAGGAGACACGGAAATTACTAAAATCCTTCTGAATTTTGGAGCCAATATTGATATTGTATTAAAATCTAATCATAAATATTTGGTTCGTGATCGCGCATTCACAGCATATGAATATAATTGTTATTCTCCTTTACAAATCGCAGCGGAAAACGGCCATTATGAGTTTGTTCAGATTTTGATAGACAATGGTGCCAAAGCTAAAGTACCTTGGATATCTTCAATGTTACTTCCAGTGGCATGTAAAAAAAGCTATATAAAGATTGTTAAAATTCTCTTAATGAATTCCGTAGATGTTGATGCCGTCGATGAAAAAAAACGTACAGCATTACATCATGCAGCCATTAATGGCCACAAAAAAGCGATACAATTATTAATAGAAAATGGAGCCAATGTTAATGTATTCGATAACTTGCAATGGTCACCATTCGATTATGCTTTTTTAAATGGTCACAATGAAATTGTGCAATTTTTATTAAGCAATGGTGCAGTTGATAAAAGTCAGCTTTTATATGCATCCAACCAAAGTCGTATTGCAATTCTCGAGCTTTTGTTTCTGAGAGTCATTGACCCCTTAAAGGCAGAAATACCAACTTCAATGCATTACGCAGCTGAAGTAGGTGACAAGGCACTCACTGAGTTGTTGTTGGAGGAAAGTGAAACTGAAGTAGACGCTGTTAACAAAAGAGAAGAAACACCTCTGCACTTGGCAGCCAAAAAAGGACATTGTGAAGTTGTTCAGATTTTGATAAATGCTGGTGCCAATGTTAATGCTACAAATATCAACAAAAAAACTGCACTACACTTAGCTGCAGAAAATGGCCACAAGGAAACAGTTGAATGTTTAATAAAAAACAAAGCTATAGTCAATGTTTTTGACTCATATAATTTCTCACCACTTCGTCTGGCAAAACTCTATAACCACAAAAATATAGTTAAAGTTTTATTAAAGAATGGTGCAAGAGTCAGTGATACATGATGATGAAAAATGCTGCCGTTGATGAAAAAAAACGTACAACATTACATCATGCAGCCCTTAATGGCTACTTAAAAATCGTGCAATTATTAATAGAAAATGGAGCCAATATTAACGTATTTGACAACATGAAACACACACCATTCGATCTTGATTTTTTAAATGATCATAATGATATTATGCAATTTTTAAGAGATAATGGTGCGGTTGAAGATACAGATTGTTTGAAAGATCTCAAGCCTATCCTTCAGATAATTAAAACGGAATTAGCGTCATTTTAACGCAGGAATATTAATTAAGTTAAAGAAAGATAATTATGATGAGTGAATATTTCTTTTAATTCTATTATTAACTTTCCGTAGACTGAGTTATTGTAATCGAACTGAACTAAATGAATGAACTCTTAATACTCTAATTTTCTCACATATTATCTTTAGTTTATAATATGTACACTAAAATGTCATTATATTGTATTATTGCCTTGGGCATTGAATAAATAAATTAATTAATTAAATATAACTTTCTTACTGTATCTCCTTCATTGATTTTCAGAATATCTTCTAAATCACAATCATTAACCCAAGTCTTTACAAATGATTTGGATAAAAAAAAAATATTTTTACTAACAGTGGCAATATTTATTGATCTAAAAAAGGCATTCGACATGGTAGGTCACAAGATACTGATCAATAAACTTTTAGAACTATGAATGGAAGGCAATCTTCTCTGCAATCTGAAGGATTTTCTAAACAAAAATATAACGAGGACAGAGATTGGAAATTGCTCAAGTGACATATGCAAATTAACATATGTAGTACCACAAGGATCAGTCCTGGGACCCTTGTTATACCTTGTGTATACGACCAACTTGAAAGATGCAAAGTTAATGGGGCGATATATACCATATGCAGACAATACAGCAATAGTATATGCAAACAAAGACCAATATAAGCTGGAGCAAAATATAAATGAAAACATGGAGACATACTCAATTTGAAGAACAAATTAACCATTAATACAGAAAAAACAAAATACATATACTTTAAACCAAATAGAAGTAAAGAAAAAAATAAATTAAAGCTTAAAGTTAACAAAAATAATAAATGAATAGAATAAATGATATAAAATGTTGTAATGACCATATCATTTGTAGAAAACATATATATACATATACATATATATATATATATATATATATATATATATATATATATATATACATTGTATGGATATTTTATATGATCTCTCATACCAGGCACTTCTGCCTGTCTGAGATGTATAAAATTTATATTAATATTCAAATAAAATATCAAACCTATATATCCCAATTGTTTCGGTTTCCTGCTGACTTGGTTCTGATGAATTATTGTCAATTCTGATGCCAAACCTGGCAAGTAATAAGGCGTAATTGCCCAAACTTCATCTCCAGGTTCAAATAAATCTGATGATCCTCCAACTGCTTCGACCACACCTGAACAAGCTCTCCCAAGAATCACTGGAAAACTTTCCTAATAAAAAAAATATAATATAAAATATACTGTGCACTGAAATACATATTATTAAAAACATTAAAAAGCATAAAAATCAATGTCTGAGATGTATTTTTAGTATAATGTAATGTATATTACATATTTAACTGCTTTTTTACCTTGGATTTTGAATACAGACTACGCAACACTTTAGCATAGCCTTTGGCAATTCGATCATCCAATTTTACAAGACCGGCAGCTTTAACGCGGATAAGCAATTCGTCAGACTGCTGATTCAAAACTGGAACTTGGACCTTTTGACTGGAAGTCACAGCCTGTTATAATTATTATTTCAACTGTTCAGTAGTTGACAGCTTTAATAAAATACTTAAACCAAAGAATAAATAGTAACAAAATAATTTATTACAACCTGTTGAAAATCTATATAAATATAAGTATTTATTCCTTATCTACTTACATTTATACCACGATACGATATAGCAACAACAGCTTTCATAAAATTTGGTGTAATAGGAGGACAGGCAAGATACCACCCAAACATAGTTCCACCAGCACCACCGATCACAAGTCCAATTATAAGATAAAATGTGTTATTAATGGCAACTACAACAAATGATTTCATATTAATATTATGGGAAAAATTTATGAACCATGCTAGTACTTGATTATTTTTGCTTACGTTCATTTCTAAAGAAATGTGTTAAATGTCCGTATATCACTGCAGGTTGTATTAGCTCGGTGATATTACTTCGAGCATTTGCATAATGTTGTTTTAAATTGGATAAGTTGCTCGAGAAAAAATGTTGGGCTTCTGCAACTCTATCATTACTTGCTAGCTGTAAAAACACATTGATTAATATTATGAAAAATATTGATAAGATATTGTAAATGATATTAAAAAATTCTAATCAAATAAACTTCAATTATAATTATAGAAAGTGCAGAATTCTATCTTTGTTATTGAAAGAATATTGTATTGTTTAAGTACTAATTTAGTATTGAAAAAAAACCGATAGTAGATGGTCATTTAGTATTTTTTATTTATAATACCTGTGACATCGTAACACGTAGTTGAGCTAAATATTGTCGTAAAAGTTCAGTACCATTTTGGCTCATAATATTACCCTGTACCTAATTCCAACAAAACTAATTAAGTAAATATAATCATAGTTATTATTCCACAAATATTTTATTACCATCACCTGTAAAGCTTCAACACGTTGATGAAGGCGAAAAAGAATTTCATCCATTTTGCATGATAATGAAAATTGCAGACATCATATTAATAATTTGATTATATTACCATTCTTAAAATATTTTTATTTGAATTTATATTATACATAATGACATAATATAGCACGAGTTGTTGCGAAACATGAATTTATTTTATATACAATTTGATTTTTGGTCAGGTGATAAAATTAATAACATGACTACGAAAATGGATCGTTTAAAATCAGTTTATAAATATTAAAATTTTCATTTCCAACAATAATTAATTTACAAATTTCATAAACCTCTGAAGAGGTACAAATGTCATTTCTTATCTTTAGAGTTGCAAGATGAGGCAGATTTGAGGGCTGCAAGAAGAAGAATTTCTTGAGTTTAGTATTGCCGAATGCTAAAGAAATGTTTCATTACTAATTTATAAAAAAGAGGTGTCAGTGTTTTAACAGACGACAGTTACGCGCGGAGAGCAATTACAGTATCAGTTTTAATATAACCATAATAATGTTCTCTTTTTAATTATTTAAATAAACCGCATTTTTAATCATTTGATTCAAATTATATTTTAATAATTGCACAAATTATATTTCTTGTTCAACACTCTACGATTTTATAACAGTTCCAAAATGAATCTCGAGCTTTTGGAATCTTTTGGCCAAAATTATCCAGAAGAATTCGACGGATCTTTAGATTGCATTTCTTTGGCTGTTACTTGCTGTTTTAATAAAAGAGGTACACTATTAGCTGTCGGTTGTAATGATGGAAGAATTGTAATTTGGGACTTTCTTACAAGAGGTATTGCTAAAGTTATAAGTGCTCATGTACATCCGATATGTAGCTTGAGTTGGTCTAGAAGCGGCAGAAAATTGCTATCAGCCTCTACCGACAATAATGTTTGTGTTTGGGATGTTTTATCCGGTGATTGTATCCAGAAATATCGGTTTCCTTGCCCGATAATGAGAGTCCAGTTTCATCCTAGAAATGAAAAGCAATATCTGGTCTGTCCAATGAGACATGCAGCTTTATTAGTCGATGATGAAGGTGAGCATAAAATTTTACCTGTGGATGATGATGGTGACTTAAATATTGTAGCTTCTTTTGATAGAAGAGGCCAGTATGTTTATACAGGAAACTCGAAAGGAAAGATTATAGTAATGAGCTCAACAGATTTTGCTTTTAAAGCTAGTTTCAGAATTACTGTAGGTACTTCAAATGCAACAGCTATCCGTAGCATAGAATTTGCTAGAAGGGGTGAATGCTTTTTAGTAAATACTGCTGATAGAGTGATTCGAGTTTATGATGCCAAAGAAGTTCTTGCTTGCGGAAACGATGGTGAACCAGAACCTATACAAAAATTGCAGGATTTAGTAAATAAAACTATGTGGAAAAAATGCACATTTTCAGGAGACGGAGAATATATTTGTGCAGGTTCTGCAAGACAACACGCTCTGTACGTCTGGGAAAAATCAACAGGCAGTTTAGTTAAAATCCTTCACGGCACTAAAGGTGAGATGCTGCTTGATGTTGTTTGGCATCCCGTTCGACCGATCATTGCCAGTATCAGTTCAGGAGTTGTATCTGTGTGGGCTCAAAATCAAGTCGAAAACTGGTCGGCATTTGCTCCAGATTTTAAAGAACTAGATGAAAATGTTGAATATGAAGAGCGAGAATCTGAGTTCGATGTAAAAGATGAAGACAAATCCGTAGACTTATCTGGAGAAGATAAACAAGACGAAGACTTTGAAGTAGACGTCACCAAAGTTGATGTAGTTGCAGCTTTCTGTAGCACTGACGAAGGCAGTGATGATGATTCTTTACAATTCTTGCCAATAGCACCAGAAGTGGAAGATCCTGAAGAATGGGAAACAGCCACAAGTCCCCAAGCCGCACAGGCATCTGGACAGCCACCGGAGAAGAAAAGAAACTGCAAATCTTTTGATATCGAATTGAAAGGAGTGGTAGGAGACGAGCAACACCCATTGTTAAGCAATAAGACCAATAAAGATAAACAAACTGCTGCAGGTGGTAAGAAAGGTGTTGGTAGACCGAGAAAGTAATTAATAGTTTTAACTTAGATTTTAAAAATATTAGATATAAGATAGATATAGTTTTAATTTAAATACTTATGATGAAATACATATGATAAGCATTGCTTAAATAGTCATGGCAATATAATTATCAATTGATTGATATGCCATATATATAAAAATGTAAGATATACTATTTTTATATGATATATAAAGTATACTCTATTAAGAATTAAGAAATTACTTATGAATTGTTTTATAATACATGTTACGACAATGAATTAAATTTTATTTAATTATATATGTAATAAATGTATTTTATTGTTTTAATTATGCATTTTATATTTTTAGACTAGTAACTGTGTTAAACTCATTTCTCAGGATTTTCTAATTTAATTTAAAATCATTTTAAGCTGGCTATGAATTTGTTTTTAGAGTAATTATGTAAATAAGACGCCTAAGTTATTTTAATAACACCAAACAGTCTTGAAGGTCTAAATGAAATCATACGGGAGGCAGTAAAAAAAGTATAATTTATGAATAAGTGAAAAAAATATAAAAATCTAAAAAGTTGAAGATGAAGAATCTGAATGAAATAAATATAACGTGAAGAAGAAATCCAATCCAATAATATTGATTAAATTGGCAGGTACAACATCAAGAAATGTTTTTATTAAGAAGATATCACAGAATTTTGTCAACATTTTTTCTGAGATCGGAGTAAGTCTGTAACAAAATTGGAACTATGCACAGCCTAAAAAGTTTAAAACAGAAAAATAACCAAAATTTTGAATTTACAAATAAAGATGGAATAAAACTAATTATTGAAAATTCAAAAAATTAAACTAGACAGGACAAAATATCATAAGTTATCATAGATAAATAAAAATAGCAAATAATTATGTAAACATCTCAATTATATAAAACAGTATTATTCCATCTCTAAAGGAGTCACTATCAAGCAGATTTTTAAAACAGGAAACAAAGCAGATACAAATAACTATAGTTATTATAGTTTAATGTATATATAGCTATATAACAATATCAACCACATTCTCAAAAACAAATGATAAAATAATTAAACAAAGATTTTTAAATTTCTTCATTTAGATGATAAGATAAAATTTCATAAACATAACTCGAAACACAATGACTGCAGACCCATAACAATAACAAACACAATCTAACAAATGTGCAAAAATAATTAAACAAGGGTTATTAAATTTCATTCATTCAAAACAAAAAATTAGATAACAATCAGTATATGAATTCCTGCTTAATCTGACTGATATTATTAGATAACAACACATTCAAAAAAGTATCCATCACATAGTGGAAATATTTATCTGAAAAAGCTGCAATACCTTAGAAAAAATGGATGTATGTGTGTGCGGATACAAATTTTTGTCGACGATTTCGAGAGCACGGATCAACGAAACAGAGAAAATGCCATTTTGCGGTCAAAAATGACCCTTAGACATGCCTTTTACGATTTTATAAATAAGTACAGATTTTGCTTACATTTTCTTAGAAAGGATTCGGCTATTCCAATAATAGCTATTATGGGTTCCGTACCATCATTTATAATATTTATGGTTCAAACAAATTTTCTCGACATTTTCGACAGTGTGGATCAACCGACTTGAATAGATTTCAAAAATTTCAAGCAAAAAAATTCAAGAGATACAACAAATTTCAAAATTTTCAAAAAATGACGATTTTTTTTTATTTTGCCTTGGATTTTTTTTATTTTTTTTTATTTATTTATTTATTTGATATAATTCATACATACTGTATCTCAGTCAGACAATTGTTCTGGTACGAGAGATCACAGCAATTATAACAAAAATAAAATCTAAATTTTATGTAACAGACTTAAACATTAAGACATATATTTTTACTTATTACTATTATATACACATATATACACACACAGAAGCGCTTGCGTACATACATACATACTTATACTTAAATGTAATTTTATAAATCAGAAGTAGTATAGTATTTAAAATAGGGATTGTAACTCATTTGTTTCATTTGTCTCTTACATAATTTTTCAATTTAATTTTGAAACTGTTTAGGTCTGTCATTGTCTTTAGTTCGTCCGGTAGTTTATTGTAAAGGCTGCTTGCACTTCTCAGAGGACTAGCAAGTCCTTTACTCGATTTAGCATGTTTCATGTGGAAGTTTCGGTTTTGTCTTGTTTGATGGTCATGTATATCTTGGTTTGTCTCTATTGTGGTGCAGGTTTTGATTTTGTTATTTTTTATTTTGAATATTAGTATGCATTTTTCTATTTCTATTGTTTTGTGTAGTGGTATGTTCTTAGTCTTTTGTAGGAGTTCTTTGGTCGGAGTGAGGTAGGGATAATTGTAAGTAGATTTTATCGCTTTATTCATCATTCTTTGTAATGTCTTTATATTTTTATTTGTAGTTTGACTCCAAATCGTGATGCCGTACGTCATAATCGGAATTATATGTGATTTTAATATTAGTTCTTTGTTCTTAATTCCAAGATGTCGTATTCTTCTTATGGCCCCAGAAAGTGCTGCAATTTTTTGTTTGATTTTCTCGATTTGGTCACTCCATTCTAGATTCTGGTTTATAATCATACCCAGATATTTAGTTTTTTCTATTTCTTTTATTTCAGTATCGTTGATTAATAATTTTATATTGCCTATTTTTTTATTTTTGTTACGTCGGAAAAATATATAATTAGTTTTTTCTGTATTTATATCGTGAGTTTATTTTCTGTCAGCCATGTTGTATATTTCTTTAAGTCGTCATTAATTTTTTTTTCTAGTTTCTCCAAGTCTTTATCGGCGTATATGATCATGGTGTCATCTGCGTACACTATGTATCTACCTTCTAAATTTTTGTCCTTTAGGTTGTTAATATAAATCAGGTATAATAGTGGACCTAGAACTGTTCCCTGTGGTACTCCGCATTTGACCAATTTTTTATAGCTGAAGCAATTTCCAATTTTGGTCCTTACTTCTCTTTCAGATAAGAAGTCTTGAATTATGTTGTGCATCGTACCCTCAAGTCTCATATTTCTAAGTTGTTGAAAAAGAATTTGGTGATCTACAGTGTCGAAGGCTTTTTTTAGGTCTATAAATATTGCAACTGTGTGTCTATTGTTTTCTAGGTGTTCATTTATTAAATTAGTGGCATCTATTAAGGCAGATTGAGTACTTGATTTAGGTAAAAAGCCATATTGGTATTTATCTATAGAATCGTTTTCTATCAAGAATTGTAGTATTCTCTTCTTGATGACTTTTTCATATACTTTTGACAGGACGTTGGTTACAGTGATAGGTCTATAGTTGTTTGGGTCCAGTTTATCTCCTGTTTTGAAAATCGGTTTAATTGTAGCTGTTTTTAAACATTCTGGGAAAGTGCCCTTAGCGATGCATTTATTAATAATTTTAGAAAGTATTGGAGTTATAATATCTGATGTTTCTTTTATTATTTTCGCTGTTATATTATCATCCCCAGGTGCGGCGTTGGTTTTTAGTTCTTCTATAATTTTTTTTATCTCTTCTTCACATGTTGGATACATTGATGGATCCAGTAGTGTTTTATGTGTAGTAGACGTTGTGTTTTTTTCAGTATTTTCATTCACTTTTATATTTTTCTGTAGTCTTTCTCCTATTTCTGCAAAGTGTTTATTTAAATAGTTTGCTATGCTCTTCTTTTCTACTATAATTTCTTGTTTTTGTTGATCTTTTATTTGTTCTATTTCTGTTTTATGTTTTTCTACTTTTCTTGTCAGAGTGTTATTTATTAAATTCCATATTTTTCTTGGGTCATTTTCACATTTTCTTGTTTCTTCCAGATAATACTCCTTTTTGGTTTTATAGATTAGTCTACTGATTTCCCTTTTTATGTTGTTATATTTAGTCAGGATTGTAATATGCTTGTTTATTTGCTTTTCGTCACATTCTTTGAGTTGTTTGAAAAATTTATTTCTATGTTTTATCATTCTTGTAATATCTTGAGTTATCCATGAATTTTCCCTTGCTCTTATTCTCTCTTTTCGTTCATTTTTTTTCAATTCTTCTTTAAGTATTGTTATTAGCTCTTCAAAACTATTCACTTCTACTTCATTGATTTTGTTCATTAGTGTCGATCTTAATCCTATCGTGTCTATGCTAAACTTTGTTATTTTCTGCATCTTTGGTTTAATTTTTGGTATATTTTGTATAGTTATTGTTATCATTTTATGGTCTGATAAATCTGTATCTTCAAGTATTATTTTATTTTTTTTTCGTAATTTGTGATGATATGGTCAATTATGGAGTGGCTATTTTCTGTTATTCTGGTGGCGTGTTCTTTGCTAATCTCGTTTATAATTTTGAATCCAGCCATGTCTATAATGTTTTTATATTTTTTTATTGTGTTGTTATTTTGTAATATATCCAGGTTCATGTCGCCTATAATTATAGTGTTTTTACGATTATTTTCTACCTTCTCTTCAATTAAATTAACAATTTCATGTTTATTATTATTTGGTGGATTATAAAGTATAATAAAATTTATGATCGGATTCAAATTTGTGACTGTTAATTCCAATAGATTTATGTTATTATTGTAAATATTATTTTGAATGCTATAACTGAAGTGAGTTATAATAATTGAAACAAAATTTAAGACAAACATTTTTATAATTTTTAACGTTTCAAAGGTTTCTGAACACCCAGGCATGCTTTAAAAACAGTCGATATGTGTGTGTGTGTGTGTGTAGTATGTATGTATGTGCGGATACAAATTTTCGTCGACGATTTTGAAAGCACGCATCAACCGATTTGAATGATTTAAATTCGATTCGTATTAATAAGAAGACGTGCTGATTAGTTTTTGGCAAAGGCAGGTCCAGGCGTTTGGGAGATACGGGGCAAAAAGTGCCAAAAATTGTAATTCAGTTTTTGAGAGAACGGAGCGTCCGATTTGAATGATTTAAAAAACATTTTATTGAATGAAGAATTGATTGAATTTTTGGCAAAACGGTTTTGAAAATCCAAAAAAAAGTTAAAAAATAACTTTTAGCGATCAAAAATAATTATTATATATAAATGTTCCATGTATCAACCGACCAGAATGGGTTTCAAAATTTTTGGAGAATTTCAAAATTTTCAAAAATTATCAAATTTTTCAAAAAAATTGTTCTTTTTTCAAAATTTTCGAAAAAATTGAAATTGCGATAAGGGTAGTTCCTGCAATTTGCTTTAAGGCACGGTGCCTTAAAACAAATGCACCACTATCTTTTTTTTTTAAAAAAACTCAAAAAAAAATCAAAAAATTTCAAAATATTTTTGAAAATCATCCGATCATATATTTTTTAATCGTTTACTACTACATTATAAACCCACTTTCCAAATATTTTGGTGAACAATAGCGATGCCATTTCAGTTTCTACGTACAAAAGAATAATTTTATTCACAAAATTTAATAATTTGTATAAGAATTCGGTATTTAGAAAGTTCAAATAATAATTCTCCATCTCTATTGCTCCTTACTTTCCCTCTGCAGGCAACTTCACGCAAAAGTGAAAGCTTTTAGTAATGGCGTCATGGCGCTCGTCTCGCACGACATTTGACGTTATTTACATTTACTTGCAACTGTTAATAACAATAAGTGCGCAGTTTAATCTAAAAAAATACTACAAATATAACCGACGGTGTTTAGTTTATCCAACTGAATATTATTATTATTATGTTATCTATGTACAATGCAATGTTAAAAGTTATTGATAATATTTATTAATGAATAGTGGTAAACATGTCGGAAGAAAGGACAGATTACGTTAATATTTTAGCAGAGAAAAAATTACAAAATGACGATGCTTTCTTTATGTCGTATCCTTATAGGCCGACAATTGCGTATAAACAGACTAAATATTATAATCCGGAGGAGCTGAAAGTTTTGGTTTTACATAGTTCGGAAATTTCTAATGTTATCGAACAGGTTAGTTTGAAATAATCAATATATAATATTAAATTTTAAATTATTATATACACATATTTATAGTAGCTAAAGTTAAAAAAAATCTGCAAAATTGCAATGAAATATCTATTATAGTTTCACTTAAAAATTAAGGACTTTTATAATAATTTGTTTTGAATTTTTATAATAATTTTATGTTTGTTAAGAGGTAAATATATAAACTATTATAAAAAAAAAACTAGAACTTTATTCAGGTTTCACTTCTTAAAACCTTAAGCATCAAATTATTATAAAAATCCTTACTAGTTTCCTTAAATTGGAACTTCAGAATTTATAAAACCTAGGACAAATTTCTCTAATAATAATTACCATTTTTATACTAATGTGATATTTATTTCTACAAATAATTTTATATTTATTGTTACTAATTTATGAAGGTAAAACTACAAAAACATTTTAGATTTTTTATATTTTATGGTAAAAAAGTATTAAATTTAAACTACATATCTAAATTTTATGGCAATAATATCCTTTATAATAATTTCTATATAATTTTTTTATAATAATTAGATGAATGTCCTACTTAATACCTACTAATTTTTAAACTAGAATAATGTATTAGTTTTTTTATATATTTTTTGAATATTTAATTGTTAAAGCAATACAATATAAATACTAATAGCTAAATTCTAAAGCAAATGTCCTTTATAATAATTTCAATTATATTTTTATAATAATTGGATTATCCATATTTGTTATCCTTACAAATACCAATTTATGAAAGTAAAACTTTCTTTTCTATAAATAAACTATACTATAACAATTCTTAAGGTTTTTTCTATTTAAATTTGCTATTAATTGCTTAAGGTTTTTTTTTCTATTTTTTCTATTTATTTCTTATATATTTAATTAAAGTATCTGAATTAAACTACAGCTAAATTCTATGGCAAATATCCTTTATAATAATTTCCATTTGAATTTTTATATTAATTGGATTATCCATATTTGTTTTCCTTACAAATACTAATTTATGAAAGTAAAACTTTTCAAATCTTATGATAAACTATAACAATTTTCAAGGTTTTTTCTATTTAAATTTTCTATTAATTGCTTAAGGTTTTCTTCTATTTTTTCTATTTATTTCTTATATATTTGATTAAAGTATTTAAATTAAACTATAGCTAAATTCTATGGCAAATATCCTTTATAATATAATTTTTATTTAAATTTTCATAATAATTGGATTTTTTCATGTTATCCTTCAAATACTAATTTATTAAAGTAAAACTTTTTAAGTCTTAGGATAAACTATAATATAACAATTCTTAAAGTTTTTTCTATTTAAATTTTCTATTAATTGCTTAAGGTTTTTATTATTTTTTCTATTTTTTTCTTATATATTTAATTAAAGTGTTAAAACTAAACTATATATAAATTCTATGGCAAATATCCTTTATAATATAATTTTCATTTAAATTTTTATAATAATTGGATGTTTATCCTTACTAATATTGATTTATGGAAGTAAAACAATTTTTATGGTAAACTATAATAATTCTTAAGGATTTTTTCTATTTAAATTTTCTATTAATTTCCTATCAATTGTTTAAGGTTTTTTTTCTTTTTCTTTATATATTTAATTAAAGTATTAAGAATAAACTAGAGCTAAATTCTATGGCAAATATCCTTTATAATATAATTTTCTTTTAAATTTTTATAATAATTATTTTTACAAATACTAATTTATGAAAGTAAATTTTTTTAAATCTTATGATAAACTATAACAATTCTTAAGGTTTTTTCTTTTTAAATTTTCTAATAATTTCCCTTTAATTGCTTAAGGTTTTCTATTTTTTTCTATTCATTTCTTATATATTTAATTAAAGTATCTAAATTAAACTATAGATAAATTCCATGGCAAATATCCTTTATAATAATTTCCATTTAATTTTTTATAATAATTAGATGTTCCTTACAAATACTAAGTTATGAAAGTAAATCCTTTTTAAAAGTTTTCAATAAACTATAACAATTCTTAAGGTTTTTTTATAAAAATATAAATAATTGTTGAAATATTAAAATTAAAGTAAATAGCCAAATTCTAGGGAAAATATCTTTTATAATAATTACCAATTCCGTTTTTATAATAATGAGTAAAAAGTAAAACTTTTTTAAATGTTGGGAAAACTGTAACAAAGCTATATTTTTATATTTATCTTATAATTATTAAAAATTATTAATTTTTCTAAATATTTTTTTAAAAGTATTATGATAAATTACAAACAATGTTTTAGAATTTCATGTATTTTATAATTAATTGTTCAAAAGTATTGAAATTAAACTACATAGCTAAATTGTAAGAGCTAATATTAATTTTCATTTTTGTAATAAATTGATGTTTATCTTTACAAAATACCAATTTTTGAAAGTAACTTTTTTAAATCTTGTAATAAACTTTAACAATGTTTTAAGATTTTCATAAATTTTAAATATTTGTTAAAGTATAAAATATTTAAATTAATTAATTTAAGCTTAAGCTATATAGCTAAATTCTAGATAAAAAATCCTTAATAATAATTTACATTTCCATTTTTAAATCTTTAAAATTATAAATTTCCAATTTATAATCTAATGTTTATGCTTACAAATACTAATTTATGAGAGTAAAACTTTTTTAAGTATATGTTGTAATAAACTACAACAATGTTTTAAGTTTTTTACATATTAATATATTTAATTGTTAAAGTATTAAAATTAAACTGCACATAGATAAATTATAGTGAAAAATTCCTTGAAGTATTTTTGCTATTAATGTAATCAATTATTAAAATTTTTTTGATAATGAAATTATTTATATACCCAAATCATTATCCATGCAGATAATAGAAATAGAAATAAAACAAATTCATGTTTCCAAAAAATAAAATAGAAAAAAGTCTAAATTTTTTTTCTAAAACAGTATTTTTAATAAATAACCCAGTTAGACTCTTTTTTGGTGGATAAAACTACAAAAATGATATAAGAAATATTATTTTTTTCATTTTTGCTTTTGTTAAATATTCATTATATTTATCACCCTGATTATAATATTTAAATTCTATTACGAAAATAGTTAAATGTTCAATGCAAATGTTATTGCGCTAAATAAAATATGTCATTGAAAATAAAATATGTAAATAATACATAATAATAATATAATGGACAGAACAAAGTTTACTTTAGCAAAACTGGTTCTACGATACGACAAATGATAAAAAATTGTTTAAGAAATTTACAAGATTAAGTTTATTGTTTTAATTTTGTAATATATAAATATATTTTTATTATATGAATAGTTTTTCCATTCATTTCTATTACACTATGAGTGAAATATATTTAAATTCAATTTTAATAAAAATCGTTACCCAAAATTGAATAAAATTGTATTTATTTTTAATTTCAACCCCAAAATTGACTAAAAATATATTTATATTTAATTCCAAGTCTAAATTGATTAAAAATATATATAAATTCAATTTACAGATGAAAAATATATTTAAATTTAATTTCAACCTCAAAATTGATTAAAAATATATTTAAATTTAATTTTAAGCTCAAAGTTGAATAAAAATATATTTAAATTCAATTCCAAGTCTAAATTTATCAAAAATATATTTAAATTTAATTTACAAGCTCAAATTTGATGAAAAATATATTTAAATTTATTTCAACCCCAAAATTGATTAAAAATATATTAAAATTTAACTTACAAGCTCAAATTTGCTGAAAATATATTTAAATTTAATTTACAAGCTCAAATTTGATGAAAAATATATTTAAATTTATTTCAACCCCAAAATTGATTGAAAATATATTAAAATTTAACTTACAAGCTCAAATTTGCTGAAAATATATTTAAATTTAATTTCAACCTCAAAATTGATTAAAGATATATTTAAATGTAATTTACTAGATCAAATTTGATGAAACTATATTTAAATTTTATTTACAATCCCAAAAATTTATCAAAAATATATTTAAATTTAATTTACAAGCTCAAATTTGATGAAAGTATATTAAAATTTAATTTACAAGCTCAAAATTGATTAAAAATATATTTAAATTTAATTTATAAGCTCAAATTAGATGAAAAATATATATTTAAATTCAATTTACAAGCTCAAATTTGATGAAAATATATTTAAATTCAATTTACAAACTCAAATTGGATGAAAATATATTTAAATTTAATTTACAAGCTCAAATTAGATGAAAATATATTTAAATTTAATTTCAATCCCAAATTTAAATAAAAATATATTTAAATTTAATTTACAAGCTCAAATTTGATGAAAAATATATTTAAATTTGATTTCAACCCCAAAATTGATTAATAATATATTTAAATTTAATTTACAAGCTCAAAATTGATTAAAAATGCATTTATATTTAACTTAAAAACCTCAAATTTTATAAAAAATCATTTATAATGCACATAGTTTATAGTTATTATTATTTTTAATTTTAAACCCTCAAAAATATATAAATTTTAATCTCAAAAATAATGTAGGAAAATTAATTTTATAATAATAATTATTCAAATTAAATTAAATTTAAATTTGCTTTGTAAAAAAATAAAATTTGAGAAATATTTTTGGTACAAAATTTAATAAACATATTTCAAGCGTTCAGATAAAAAATACCTATTTATATATAGCCCTTATGTTTTTATTTATTTATGAGATTACTATATTTATATTTAATATATGTATTTGACTTTATCAAGAAAAATGTTTTCTTAATGATAGGAATAATAATATTTTTAATTTTATGATATTCAAAACAAACACAAATAGAAATAGTCAGAAAAAAGAATATATGTAAGTCAGAAAATTTTATGTCTAGTCTTATGTATTACTTTTTGTTAATAATTTATTCAATTAAAAAAATAAACACATTTTTACCATTTTTCTCTAAATTTTAAATTTATAATCTTAAACTTCTTATAATCTTAAGTATTGATCAATTAATTAATTGTTATTTATTATTTCAATATTCGATAACAAAATTAAATTTAAATATATGAATTAATTGAATTCTGATATACAACAATTATTGTCTTCATGAAAAATATCATGCATAACTTTTTTTAAATTATTATTTATTATTAAGATACACAATGAAAAAAAGAAACCAATACCGACTATTAAATTGGAGGCATGTGCAATCCTGGAAGAGATGGCCCTCGACAGAAGACTTGTGGTGATACGAGTATTAGGAGTAATTTTAAGCAAATTATTTAAACAATGCTGCACAGGACTTCTGGTGGACAGGTCTAGTATACAAACGGTAAGAAAAATAAATCCTATAAATAAATTATACTTGCAAATAATACTTGATACTGTTTTGCAGATCAAAAGCAACATGGGAAGTTGTCCTGTATTATTTTTGCCCTCGCACAGAAGTTATGCAGATTTTATTCTGATGTCTTTCGTTACTTTCTGTGAAGGGCTGCAGGTACCAGCTGTGGCTGCAGGAATGGGTAATAATAATAAAAATTAATTTTAATAATATTATTTAGTTTAATATATTTTTCCTTTCAGATTTCCATGGGATGCGTGGTATGGGTACAGTTTTGCGCCAAACAGGAGCGTTTTTCATGAGAAGAACCCTTTCAGGGGCTGATCCTTTATACAAGGCTTTATTTAGAAGATACGTACATGCCCTGGTTCAGGAGCATCATACGCCTTTGGAATTTTTTATTGAAGGTACCAGAAGTCGAACAGCCAAGGCTTTGTATCCTAAAACTGGTGAGTGGAAAGAGCATTGCAATAATATTCTTTGTTCAAATATGGGTTAGAAAAAATATACCTGATCGCACAGCAAATAGATAGAGTATTCTTTTATATTTTAGGATTGTTAAGCATGGCATTAGAACCATATTTCTTTGGAAGAGTTCCTGATATAACCATTGTGCCAGTTTCTATATCTTATGATCGAGTTTTAGAAGAAGAACTGTTTGCATTTGAGTTATTAGGTATTCCAAAACCAAAAGAGACTACTAAGGTAGAAAAATAGTTTTTACTACATACATATATATTGTTAAACCAAGCTGAAGTATTCTTTTATGCAGATATTGTACGTTCACAATGTACGATGAGATTTTGCCAGCAAAAAATGTGTTGAAGTTATATGCTAAAATATTAATTTTGTTTTTATAAATGTTTTATATTTTATTTTTCAGGGTCTTTTTCATTCTTTACAACGGCTCAATGAAAGGTATGGAGCTATGAAAATATCCTTCAGAAAGCCAATTTCTGTACAAAGTTTTATGAACCAGCGAAACCATGATAGAACCGTGCACATAAATTTGCCTTCGCATGTTCAACAAGTCACACCAAAAGAAATGGTATTAGTTAACGAATTGGCACATGAAGTTCTACTAAGGTAATTTATTATATTGAAATATTTCTTGCATTTTTCTACGTAAAGAAAAACTAGTGGTGTATGTCATCGTGCCTTAAGGCAAATTGCTGGAACTACCCGTACCAAAAATTATTTTAAACTTTGAAAAAATTGGATTTCTGAGGAATTTTAAATTTTTGAAAAAAAAATGACTTTTTTGGGAGAAAAAACTTTTGGGATAAAATGTTTTTTTTATTTATTTTGAAATATTTTGGAAATTTTGAACTTTTTTCAAAGCAATCGCACTGCTTTAGCTGCTTAGAGACGCAATGTAGAAGCGCGTAAGCGCCGCGTCGCCGTATAACGGGCAAACGATGTAACGAAACCCCAATACATCCATTTTTTCTGAAGTATGCCAAAATGTTCAGAAACCTTTGAAACATAAAGATATATGAAAAAAATATTTTCGATTTTTTTGCGATTACTGTAACTTACTCTACGGGAAGTTAATATCTCTATAAGAATTTTTTCAGATAATAATATTTTATATAAACTATTGTGATAAGAACAGATTTCATATACTTTCTGAAGGCTTCTATACATGTACATTTATTTCGATTTTACATAAAATATCAGTGTTATTATATTCATTTATTATTTATATTTTCCAGACAACAGCAAGGGATGACGATAGGCGTGATCAATATTATATCCCTTCTAATATTTTATTATGAAATGAGATCTTACACGCCGACAATCGGAGAATTAGAAAGAAATGTAAAAAAATGGAGTGATATATTAAAATATTTAGGTGCTTCCATTTCCACAGAAAGTGTAACTGAGGCTTTAGATATTCATAAGAAAACATTAAGGGTTAATCAAAACGGAACTGTTAGTTTAATTTCTGCAGATTTTGCATTGATGAATAAGCCTGCAAAAAATCATTTGAAAGGTAAATATTTATGCACAATAAATAGTTATTTTAATATTGAAGAATAGACATAGATATTTTCATTTTATTTTAAGGACATGATTTGGAAAACGACACAATGACGAAAGCAACTCCCCTTGTAAAGTTGCAGTTGTATATAAATCCGTTATTTTTTTATTTATGTGGACCCGCACTCATTATCACAGTTATGAAATTGAATATAGTTTCTAATAAACGTATGTATTGAATTAATCCATATATATATATATATATATATATATATATATATATATATATATATATATATATATATATATTTATTTGGAGTAAAATTTTATTTCAGACGATTTATTCAGATCTGTGTCAATGATTTTGTACATATTCCACTTCGAGTTTGTCATACCTAAATCAACAATATTACAGGTTTGTTTTTGTTGCATTTTATTTCTAATGTTATAATTTCACTAATTTAGAACAAATTTCTTTCAGAACTTCCAACGATGGATGGATGCATTACTTGCCTTGAATATTATAAGCTTAGAAAATAATTGTATTAAAATAACTAATAATGATGATGCCGACATTATTGCTTCCTTAATGGCACCTTACTTTTATTGCTATCGGGCTGTTTATAACATATTATCTAAGGTAAGAAATAAAACAAATTAGTGGTGAATGGAATCGCCTCTTAAGGCAAATTGCTGAAACTTCCCGTACCAAAAATTAAAATTAAAACACACATCCATTTTTTCTGAAGTATGCAAGAATGCTCAGGAATCTTCAAAATGTAAAGAAATGTAAAAAATTTTAATTTCGATTTTTGGACAATTACCATAACTTACTTAATAAAACGAATTTTCAAATTTCTTCAGTAATTGAATTTTAATATTTTAGACAGTTGCAGAAGTATCAGAAAAACAGTTATTTGTTGAAATACAAAAATGGATTGAAAACGATTTGTTTAAATCAGACAAAACGAATATATCTGCATTTTGTTATAGTTTGAGTTTAGATGCCATTTCAAATGCTCTCAACTCAAGTACTTTCATCGGCTGTCTTCAGAAAATAAGAAGGTACTATTAAAATTACTAATAACTAAAAATATATACATATTTCATTTAAATAATTTTATTTGTTTTAGGAACTCCACAAACTTCTATACAAGATGTGATTCAATATTCAATGATTGGCATGCTTTTTTGAATAAGTTTGACTTACCATATTTTGAGAATAAATCTAAACTTTAATAATATTAATAAAGAAATTGGAAATTAATGTAAGGCCCAGTACAAAAAAGAATCAATATTAATCATAAGTAGTGGTAAGAATTTTTATATGTAGTTAATATATTTACCAAATTTATTATATTAAACATTTAATATTGTCTTAGTTTTTAATTCAAAAGATATAAATATATGCCAATGAATGTTGTTTTATAGGAAATCTACTAAATAATATTTTTATTGACTTAATTTTAAAACAAATGGTATGAGCATAACTGCTGCTAAGTACTAATATTTCTAAGTAATATCTTTATGGTTAACTAAATGCGATCTTTATAATATTATGAGCCATCTAGGATATTAATCGCATCAAAATTCAATGTTCAAAGTCAATTTATCAAATTTGAGATCAGGAATTGAAAAAAAAATCCCATTTTTCTTTCAAAGCTTTTAGATTATTTATTATTGGCCATGATATTTTGGCAAAATAATTAATTTCATATTTTTTATAATTTTACAAACTTTTTCTAATCTTGAAAGACTCATTCCATTTTTTTCAATACATTGAAAGAGATCTTTGATATCAATACATAAATAATTTTGCTTGTTACAAATGCATTAAATCAAGCAGAAATAATTAAAAACATAAAATCAAATTTATTATAAAGGTTTTAAAAGATTTGATAAATATTTAGGGGTTGTTTTGATTATAAAATTCAATCACAGTAAGAATATGAATATTGAGTTACTTTAATTTAATTAACTTAAAAATAACTATTTTGAATGAAAAATGTGGAATGTTATTAATACGTACAATAATAATAATCCTGCATTCGTTAAATATAAAAATTTATTATTACTTTTCTCATAAATGCCTGATGGTTTTTAAGCCGTATATTATGTTATCACTTTTTCTTCAACATAATAAATTAATTTAATAACAGAAATCCAAAATAATCTTTTGGTTTAATACAACATTTTAGTTCTTGTTTCTCCATATCCATCTTACCTGTTAAATACTTTATTACTAATTTTCATATCTCTAGTTCGTATCCTATTTTTCTCTGCTACCATTCGTGTAAATATTGTACTAGTAATCTATCACGTGTCTTAAAACTAATTTCCATTACAACTCAACTAGAACATGGGTAAATAATGGATGCAGTCTAAAGGCTTTGGTAATATATTTTAAAGATATAAGACCATCTGTCTTATATCGTAGTGGGCCGGTTTCTAAAAGCGTTTTTCGTTCTTCACTGAAAATATAAATTATATAACAATTTATTTTAATTTTTAATAGAGAAATAAATCTGTAATTTATGTTTTCATTATATTTTTTCTGCTTTAAGTTTATTACCTTGGAGCATCATGAGAATGTTTTAGCATTGTGTATCGACTAAGTTTTGATGGAAAACGGCAAATTTCTATCCCATTATGAGACAGACGTCTGTAGAAGTCATCATCTTCACCACCCCATCCGTTGAATAAATTGGACATGCCATTTACTTTTTGAAATTTGATGCGGATATAGCTACAACTCCACCAAATAATTCTGGGTACAGTGGATTAAATCTGAAGTAAAATTGTAATTTATATATATATATATATATATTATATATATATATATATATATATTATATGTGTGTGCGTGTGATTTTTATAATGTACCTAAAAATATCTAAATTAGCTGACATATGCCTTGGTAAATTTGTGCAAGCATATAAATTCCCTCTGTTAAAGGCAGGAGATCCACATCGTGTAATATCAAGCAAGGAAAACCAAATTCTAAGGCTACCTTAGCCCCTATATTCAATAGTTTAGCTCTATTAAATAATTTATTGTCGAATTGTTCTATTATAAATATTCTATAATGTATGTTCTGCCTGTATAAAAAGTTATGCATGTATGTCAAAAAAATATTAAGCTGCTCTGCTCTATTTCTGTAAGGCACTACAATAGCTGTGCTAAATTGAGGGATACAGTTTTCAGGAATATATTCTCCTCCATTGTTTATTTTGTAAGTTTTCAATATACTCGAAGATAATGATTGGACATTGGTTGAGGAAGTATCGTTTAATACATTGTCATAAGTGCAAGGACTGTTCAACAACTGATCTTTGGTTAAATTGAGGTTAGACTTCCTCAGTAAATTAGATTCTAGCTGCTCATAATTTAAAACGAAGAAATTTTGCATACATGCTATCGGATTCCCATAGTAAAGGATAACAAAAATATATAATAAATAACAAATATAGGAACGAAGGAAGTGCATACAGTTTCGATAAATATTCATTGTTGCACAATTAATTGGGAGGAATTGTGCAAAGGATCCTGTGTGTCACATTATCTTTCAAATAGATAACTTCTTTTGATTTTAGATGTTTTTGCACTCCTTGCCATATAAAAGATGTTATAACTAGACACTTCCATTATATTCAAACCAAATAAAACGAATAAATCAATGAAGTATTACATAGTCCACTTTTTGAAGACATAATGCCGAAAAGAAAGCATGTCAATGTCAATTTGACAGTTTAATAGTCATGTCTTCTGCCGCCATTTAAAATTAAACTGAAGTTAGTTAAACTTTGAGATATAAATTTTGTGAAGAAAATATTGTATTTAATTTAATGCTGCGGATTAAATTATTTGCGAATTCAGGATTGAGGAAATAATAGTCAAAATGATCAAATGTACAGGTACGTTTGTATCAAGTATTTAGAACTTAAGACACTTAA